ACGAGACGACGTCGCCCCGCGTGGGAGAAGGAAAAGGCGACGTCGCCTTTTATAAAAAATATATATATATAAATATATATATAATCTTTTATATATAAATAAATATATATATATATATATATATATATACTGAGCGGTATACCGTTCGGTATACTGCTCGGTATACAGCATCGTACCGTACCGAGGTAACGTCGAAACTCCGGTACCATACGAAATTGCGAACCTTGGAAAATGGATTTATGTTTTAAAGTATATTCAGGAATCCTTTACTTTGACAGGCAAGTTAAACTAATTACTTTATGTCTAAAACCTGTATGATACCTAGATGAACAGTCTAACTACAAACTAGCATGCATGAAATTGTTTAACTCACCATAGTGTTTGCCCCTTCGTCCCATATGAGACCATTCTCTGAAGAGCTTTTTATTTTTCCTCCTGCTCTTTCTTCAGCCTCAAAGAGGGTTACTTTTAGACCATTTGACTTGAGTTTGTACGCAGCAGCAAGTCCACTTTAAACATTTAAGAGTTTTGCAAAACAATTTAGCAAATAGTCACTAGAAATATTAATCACTAAAAATAGTATTTTTCAAGAATGAAAAGAAAATCTACAAACATGTGAACATGTTTAAAAAGCATAATGATTCATAACTTCACATATCTTCAAACGACACAGAATGATGATCACTCCAACAAGTACCCAGATTAAATCAAGTTTCCTCCATGGACAAGAAGAGGCAGAGACCTACTTTAAAAATCATGGGAAGTCAATAAAAAATTTACATTAAATTTTAAGTTTATCCATTAATCCTTTTTTCCTCAAGTAGTACTCCAGTTAGTTATGAAAGCACAATATCATAAAAAATTAGGACAGAACTGTAATCAGCAAATCAAAAATATATGTACACAAAAAAACGATAATTGAGAAGAGAATATTTCTAAGAGATGTCAGCAGTTAACTTATACTCTCTAAGTCAACCCAAGTAGCTGTAGACTAATCAGCAAAAGGAATACATAATTAATTGGTTGTTGTATATTTAGAAGATAAATTCAAAACATAAAAGTTTGAATGCTATGACTTATCTACTCCAAAAATCATCTGCATTCTTTAAAATATTTGCCTACTAATATAAGGCTGCTACTCAATAAGCTACAAAGGGAAAAGGAGTCAAAGACTCTGAAAGGTAATTTTGTATTTTTTCAAATAAAAACTTGAAAATTATATAACAAATCTAATAGATGTTGGTCCATGGATAAGGGACAAAGCAGTTGATTTCACACACTAGTAACAAACAAAACATTTTTAGTGGAACAATGTAAAAGATTGTATTTAGTAATATTGTACCTGACTCCACCACCAACAACTGCCACTGATTTTATGGAATCTGAAACATCAAATTCAAATTTTCTTTTAGACGAGATAAGCCATTCACATAGAATAATGGTAGCTCCGAATATATAGTATTAATTGCATAAATAAATTTGAAAACAACATGGTCAATACAGTAAGAACTTAGGAAGCATAATGCTAGAATCTAGCTTTTAGATTTTTAATTGAACAGAATGTCTTTGTTATTGATATAGACTAAACTAAACACCCCAAAAAGGCCAAAGTTCTTGCATAAGCGATAGGGCCTTGTTTACCATCTCTTGTGAATTAAAATCCATAAAGGAATAAAACTGAATAGTATTATGTTGCACCCAATTTTCTTTGATATACTTATATTTTAACAATGATATCTGAGTGGAACTAAGCAAGCTCGGTAAGAAATCCAGGACAAGGTTTCGGAAGGAAATCGGACGAAGACTTCGGAAGGATAACTTCATTGAGATTCTCGAACTCGTTCTTGAAAGATAAGGGCGTGGAAAAGCAAAAGAAAGGGAATCGGAGGAAAGGAAAAGAGTGGATTACTTACTGTGATTGTCGGCGGATGCCATAGCGATAGCGAGCTGGCGGTGGAATTCCCCGAAGCACGACGGCTTTCTCGAGCAGCGTCGCCGACGCGACCGGCCCAAATCGAGTGGTAGACGAAACAGAAGTATCGGGTCGCGGCACACCGGTTCACCAAATCTGCGAGCAAACCAGATCTTCGATAAGAGCCCGCGATTGGTGGCCGAACCATGCTGTTTTAGCATGGCCACCACGTACTGAAAATTATGCTACACCGGCATGGTTGACGGGTTGTGTACGTAAGCATGATTCTTTGCGCGCCTCGCCTGTTCACATCTCACCCGCACGCGGCACACCTGCTTCTGGAGGCAGCATGGGCCCCACTACTGGCTCTCACGAGAGACTGAAGCACGTAAGAGTCGGACGTGAATTCGAGTGTTTCTATTAGAATTTAAGCGTGGAAGGATCCACGGTATGGGACGCCCACGGTTTTGACCACTCCGTGTCTATGACCGTTCGATTCGAATCAGACGGTCTTGAACACAGGATCCGGACTGTCATCTGTCCTGGTTGAGACACCAACCAGGGAACAGTGCGTTCCCAGTGATAGGTAAAACGGACCTCATGATTCAGGCAATAACGTGAGATGTCGGCAGATTATTGGCGAGTAACAAACCAATCCTTTGTGATTGGTGACTCGAACAAGACACACGAGCCGTGGAATTTCTAAAATATTATATCAGATCCAATTAATCACCGAAATTATAAGAGGCATATTATGGATATAAAAAATTATAGATTTTTCGAACTCCTCAGTAATTTCTTATTTGTTTTAATTAACATAAGATTATTGAGCAGATATTTAAGAGTGTCATATATTGAGAATTTAAATATTCAAAAAGATTTATATGCAACATCAAAATATTCAATGGGCATATGTATCATATGGAGACTTGACACCTGGAAATCGGGTGACAAAAAATAGAAAAATCAGTTACCATCAAACATAACTAAAAATATTTTTTGGAATCAATAATGTTTTTTTAAAATTATTATTATTATTTTATATATTCACTTTCCTTGTACTCATCTCCTGATTTCACCTAATTCACTTCCCTTATACTTATCAAGTTGGAAGATAATAGTCTTTCCTTTTAGGTGATGATGCAAAGATTCAACATAGCTTGGGATTTTCATTATCAACTTTAATTTTTTTTTCTAGAAAATATGTTTGATGTAAATGGTTATACTTTCATATTCAAACTAGGCGAAGATGTGATGATTCAACTTAGCTCCAAGATCTTAATTGATTTTTTTTATTTTTTTCGTTGAAAAGCGCATGTAGGATATTAATAATTGACTATAAACTTTGAGATTACTAAGGAGTATTCAGGTTTAAAAGCATTGTGTAGGATATTAATAAAAGTGCGTGGACAAGTGAATCAACTAAGATTTTTTTTTTTTTTGAAGGAATAGTTCATTTTATATTTCATTGTTGCGATTATTATTCTACCTTGAATCTCGTATTTTGATTATGAAACCAATTGATAATTACGTTTATGTTTTAATCTACGTTTTAAGTGACGCAGGATGCTTCGATCAGGATGAGACAGTTAAAACAGGAAAAATCATGTTGTGCCGGAGGAACATGTCAAAAGATTGGACGTCGGGCCGGTGGATCGGTTGACATATCGACAGAAGGCTTCGGGCCGTGGACTTAGGCATCAGGCGAAGAAGAGCGGGTATTGTGCCAAGGATATCGGAGTTGCGGAGTCAACTGACCGATTGGGCAATATGCCGCAGGAGAGGACGATACGCCGAAGAATCGGACGAAACACCGAGGGACCAATGACATGCCGGACAACTTGGTTAATTACTTAGGATTAATTGTCTCGATCGAAGTTTTGTTTTACATATGCAGGATTAACTACGATGCAAGTAAGATATGTAGTAGAAGTTGCACTGGAGTCAAGACTATGATCACGTTGGGAGTTCGACGGAAGTCCGGACGGTCGTTGGAGGTTCTACGGGAACAAATCCAAGAAGTCCAGGAGCTTGCCAAAGAAGCTCGTTAGAACTCGCCAAGTGGATCGTCGCAAGTCTAGGAGTTTGTCGGAAGTCCGTCGGAGCATCGCCGAAGGTTCGTCGAATGTTCGCCGGAAGCTCACCGGAAGAAGCGATTGATGCACCAGAGCAAGTTGCAATAAAATGTCTTAAGAAATATCGTAGTTAGCATGTAGATTAAGTTAGGAATGAGAGGTGATCCCATTAACTTAATCTGGGGACAATTGGGCCCTTGATAGACCCAAATTGGGTCGAATGGATCAACCCATTCGGACCAGAATTTCTGCCAAGCGATGGCACCGCTTGGGCTCAGTCTCCAAGCGAGACTAGGCGATGCAACCGCCCTAGTCAAGCGGTGGCACCACCTGGGCTCAGTCTCCGAGTGAGATTGGGCGGTGCAACCGCCCTTGTCAGACAGTGGCACCACCTAGAGGCTCAGTCTCCGAGCTGTCAGGCGGTTGTACCGCCCCAGTCAGGAGGTAGTACCGCTAGGACCCCAGAAATCTGGAAAATGATATTTTTGAGCTCCAAATTCAAACCAGTTTGGTGCCCCTATATACCCCACCCTTTTCTGCATGAAAGGGCACCGAAAGCTTGATCTTACTCTGTGATTTTAGAGCTCAAAAGTGTTGTAAAGGCTAGAAGTTCTCCTCTCTCTTTTCTTCCAAGTTTTGATATTTCAAGAGAGGAGAGAAAATTCTGTAAGGGTTGTCTCCAAAGCTGGTCAAAATGAGTGAAACTGTAAAAGGGTGATTGATCTTCGCCTATTGAAGGAAGGCCTCTAGTGGATGTCGATGACCTCATCGGAGGAGGAAGCCAAAAGTGGATGTAGGTCAAGATTGATCGAACCACTCTAAATCTCGGTTTGCATTTACTTTATGTTCTCTATCTTAACTGCAAACTACCTCCATAGCTTTACTTTAACTGCACTTCGCCTAATCTAAGTTAAAGTAATTTCTGAATCAACTTTCTTACCGAAATCGTTTTTATCGTACGAACGTCATTTTAAATCATCGAAAGTTTTCCGCTGCACTAATTCACCCGCTCCCCCCTCTTAGTGCTCTTGATCGTAACACCAAGTGCCACTATCAACCATATTAAGCAGCACTTAATTGTTTGTATCAACATTAAAAAAAGTTAGTAGTCTTGTTTGGGTTTATATAATTATTATTAATAAAATATTTTTAATGCTGCAACCAAGCGAGCATCTGAGCACAAAACATAACAAATAAATAAATAAATAAAGATGAATTATTGAAAAAATTATATTTTTTAAAAATCCTAAGCTAGCGTTTTTTAAAATTTTTAAAATTTTTTATAGAGTACCCTTTTGTTTTCAAAATGATTATTTTATCTTTGTCAGTCGGTACCTCCGCTTAATATTGTTACCCTCATTCAACTTGTCTTTATCTTCGTGAACTCTACTGCCCCCAAAGAACTTACCCTTGTGTGACTCACCTATGGCACAGGTAGCAAGACTAGTGAGAGTAATGCACGTAGGATGGTGCAGAGAGAGAGAGAGAGAGAGAGAGAGAATACGGTGGAGGCAACGACGGGTCTGACGAGAGAGGAGAAGGGTGTATAGGGGATGGATAGGAGTAAGATATTTATTTTACATAAAGTTACGGAGTTCCACGGAAAATTATAAAAAATAAGGAGTTTTTGGAAAATTCGTCCAGAATAAAATTAAAAACAAAATCTGGTCTCGCGCACCTGCGCTTTAATGGCGAATAATCTCACCTTTCCAAGCGGAATGTCGGCTCCAAAGCGAGCATCATTCTCATCGTCGTCGCCTGCCGCTCTCTCGTTCTTCCCCTCTTCCTCTTTCCCCAATCTCCGTTCCTTCCACTCCCCATAAACGCACTCGTCTCCTCTCCCTCCTTCCGCAATGGCGGCTTTGGACCGTAAGTTCGTCTCCCTCCTCCTACTCCTCCTGACCTCGTTGGTCGCCGCCGCCGAGGAGGCGGGGCTCGGTCTCGACGCCGGAGACCGGGACGCCCTCTTCCGCTTCCGATCGCAGCTCAACGACCCGCGGCTGAGACTGGCGAGCTGGAACGGGTCCAATTGCACCACCTGGGCCGGTATCTCCTGCGAGAACCGGACCGGCCGGGTCTTCCGAATCAACCTCGGCGATTCGGGCCTCTCTGGCGCCGCGCTTGAGCTCCTCTGCAACCTCTCCCTCCTCGAAACCCTAGTCCTCTCCGGCAATGACTTTTCCGGCCCCATTCCGCGTTGCTTTGGTCGCCTCCAGGCTCTCAGAACCCTCGACCTCGGCCGGAACAAGCTCCAAGGATCGCTTCCGCCAGAGATGGCCGGGCTCTGGCAACTTGAGGAGCTCGTGCTGTCTGGGAACCCTGGTGTTGGGGGTTTGTTTCCGGAATGGATTGGCACCTTCTCTTACAGGTTGAAAAGACTCGATCTTGGATCGACTTCACTCCAGGGAGAGATTCCGGAGGGTTTGTTCCATCTCTCGTCGCTGAAATTTCTTGATCTTTCCGGCAACCGCTTGGTGGGCGAGTTGAAAGATTTCGAGCAGCCTTTAGTTCATCTCAACCTCTCCCAGAATCAGCTTTCGGGGACCCTCCCGTGCTTCTCGGCATCGACAGGCTCCCTCACGGCACTCAATCTTGCGAGTAACGCCCTCGTCGGCGGAATCCCCACTTGTATTTCGTCGCTGAGGGCACTGTTGGAGCTGAATCTCTCTTCGAATGGTCTACAATACAGGATATCGCCCAGGCTCATCTTCTCCGATAAGCTCCAGGTTCTTGATTTGAGCTCAAATGAGCTATCTGGTCCGATTCCAGGCAGCCTAGTCGAGGAACCAGAGAGAGCTGAATTGTTGCTTCTAAATCTTTCGAGGAATCAGCTCTCGGGCGAGATTCCAGCGGAGATGACGGAACTAAGGAGCTTGCAAGGACTTTTCTTGTCACAGAATCAGCTTACTGGAGAGATCCCAGTTGCAATTGGGAACCTGACCTATCTCCAGTCTCTTGATCTTTCTTACAATTTCCTCTCTGGTCCAATTCCTGTCAGCCTCGCTGGTTGTTTTCAGCTTTGGCAGCTCAAGTTGGATCATAACAACCTTTCTGGTGCCCTCCACCCAGAGCTTGATGCCCTTGACAGCCTCCGTATCCTGGACTTAGCTGGGAACCGGATTTCTGGTGAGATTCCTCTTCCTTTGGCAGGTTGCAAATCGCTCGAGGTCGTCGACCTCAGTTCTAATGACCTTGGGGGCGAGCTTAGTGGAGCCATTCTCAAGTGGCAGAATCTCCGGTTCCTTTCGCTAGCTCGCAACCATTTATCGGGTGACCTCCCAAACTGGATGTTCTCGTTTCAGTACCTACGGTCACTCAATCTCTCTGGTAATCACTTCTCAGGATATATTCCAGACGGAGACTTCATTGTCAGTGATGAGTTCAATGGCAATTCTAATGAGCCTTATGATGGCTTCAGCATGGTCCTGGTTCCCGTCTCAGTGAACTTTGCTGGTAGTCGGCAACTGGAATTCAATTACAAGCTACACTCACAAGTGGGAATTGATTTGTCCAATAATGCTCTTCGAGGAGAGATACCTGAGGGATTGATTGGGTTAAAGGGTTTGGAGTACCTGAATCTTTCATACAATGACCTTGCTGGCCGAATCCCCGGAAATCTTGAGAAGATGGGGAAGCTTAAAAGGCTAGATCTTTCACACAATTCACTCTCCGGAGAGGTCCCAGCAAGCATCTCTGTGCTCAGGGAGCTGGAGGCACTAAACCTCTCCTACAATTGCCTGTCAGGGCCTGTGCCAACAAGGGAGGGACTCCAAAGGTTTCCAGGTGCATTTGCTGGAAATCCGGCACTCTGTATGGAGTTTTCAGGGAAGGGATGTGATACAGAAGCAAACTTGCCTGCAGGGAAGGCGATAGGTGCAAGTGGTGGCAGAGATGATGGTTGGATGTCAGTGGGGGCATTTTGGATCAGTGCCGTAGCCAGTTTTTATGCATCAGTGGTCGCACTACTTTGCTCACCAATGTCAAGGGAATATATTTTTCAGGCATTCAAGCCTGAGTTCTGAGTAGAGACTGGGAAGGAACCAAAACTGATTGTAGATGTACAGTCCTAGCTTCTTTTCATTTCTTGTTTAATCATCTCATCAGATCTGATATTAGTTTTGGCAGAAACTAACCCAGGATTGTGCTGACTTCTCATTAGCACCAGGGCATGTGCTTTAGTTGTGATGCTTTGATGTAGCAAAAATGGTTAAAATTAATGTTTTTAGTTTTGCATAAGTGCTGGATTATGGTCAAAAGGTTTATTTATCTTCCTTTCCATAATGATAATGGTTGTTTCTGCTCATAGGAAAGATTCAGGTCAACCCATGATGCTATTGTGATGCACTTGGAGAAAGCACATCGGAAAAGTTGGAACCATAATTTGGATGGACTTAAATGTGCACTGTATGTATGCTGCACCATTTATCTGTTATCTTATTGGTTTTGTTTCCTGTTTTATGATCATTATGACCGTCTCATGCTCATGCAAATTTAACATAACCTGCCACGGACTTTTGTATGGTAATGTCGCAGCAAGTATTGTTCTCATGATTCTGCTGTAGCTCTCTCAAAACATTGGCAATAATTTTCTATTTCTCCATTATAATTTCATTGATAGGAATGTGATGGTTCCAATCTTTGCAGATAGCAACCCTTATTTGAGCAATCTGTTTTCGGTTTTGTTATTGGTATTTTCATGTAAGAAGTGGGAACTCTAATTGGTGGAGCATTTACATGGCATATTTCCAAATGGATAACCAAGTTTTTGTTACTGCCTTCACACTCTGGAGGATGTGGTTTAGTTGGTACTTGGTAATCCTTGAAACAAAATGGCATTGGAAGGACATGGATGTTGGTACCCATATTCAGTGATTTTGAACCAGAAGGAATGATAGCAACTATTGAGCAGACTTTTTTTAGCAATAATTTCTCGAAACATCATGTCTAATATAACCAATATTACATAATGCATGAGATAAGACTGACAGAACATTGTTAACTGTGACAACATGAGGAGGATATCATTGAGACTACTGACCTGCTACTGAAGACTTTCTTATGAAAATTAGCAGTGGAAGCATGGTTATCAAGGCCATTTCCTATTCTCTACATTTTTGACTTGCTATCAAGTGGAAAGCCAGCATATTTCTTGACTGCTTGATGATGATGCTAGTCTTTTTCCTACTCCATGCAGCTACCTTACTACCATTTTCCACGTATTTTACAACAATTTAATTATGGTTCTATGTATGGGATACAAATGATTAATTCAACAGCTGTTCTATTTCTTGACATTAAAAACGTATTTATCACTTTCTCTCAAACACATTTTTTGTTGGTTGCTTGGTTAATGGTTAGACATCAGCATTATACATACTGATTTTCAGTTTTTTCCCTCTGATTCTATATTGTTCTTATTTATGGTTAATTCAATATCACAATGAAAGGTTTCATTCAAAGTTCTTTTGCTACCGTTTTAAAGTTAGTTTTACATATTTTCTGAATAAAGATTGCCCAGATGAGCAAAAATCTGTGGAGTGTGGGGTATAATTTATTTGCTGTTGGCTTGTAGAATTGCACGAGTTAAGTGCAAGCTGTTGGGGAGAGGTGATGAAATATTTCATACTTCTGGACAGGAATAATAATCTTGAATGGTGATATAGATGACTGTAAGCCTGGCAAGGAATTTGAAATGTTGTGCAAATATTTTTTCTCTTTTGATATCAAGAGAAGCTTAAAAGCACGATTTGAAATACTGATCTGGCAATTGTTTTGGTGATGATCCGCAAGAATTGTATTTGGAAAAAATTGGAAAGGTAACTTGATAGTTTGCACAGATAAATCATGTTTGCATCTCTCCCTTTACAGCATGTTTCTAAATTGTTTATATCAATCATGTTTTTTCTGTCTTCTTTCTTATCACACATTGTGGTTTAACTTTACATATTACCTTGAGATTTACTGGATTTAGGATATCAAATGTTTTGATATGCTTCATTGATAGAATGCTTTTGTAGCTCACTAGTTTCACAACTCAGGAAGTTTCTTTTGCTTCCTGTAACATGGCAAATAATCTCATTGAAGTATTGTATTGCAATTATTTCTCAATCTATCTCATGGTTCCAAAATGTCACAGATTCTATTTTACAATGGCCTTTGGATGTTCTTCCCCGGATGCTAAGTTCCGACAAACATGCCACCTAGAGAGGAAGAGAACCTGAGGCTCAAGGTTGCGTCCGAATCTGTTAATAGTAAGGGAAGATCTTATGAGACCATGAAAAAGGTGTCGAGGAACATATTCCAGTACGCAAATTTCCTAGTCTTCTTGCACCAGTTTCTCTCAGTCATGGCTGTCGACGAATGAACTGATGGCAGCGGCTTCTTGTTGACGCCGACTACTTAAAGAGAGAGTTAGAGATGACTTAAAACTGTTCATAACAACACACTGTGCTCAAGGTTTGGCGGCCGCTCTTTTTGGAGTCGGAGGCGGTGCGGTGATCTTAAGTAGAAAGGCCATCATGCTTCACGGTGGTGCGCTGCCCTCGTCGATGTCCTGCGAGAGGTGGTGGTCGACGGCGTTTTGGATGCCGGAAGACAATCCACTCCGTTCGGATCGGATCCAATCATCCGTTTCGGATCGGATCCACTCTTAGGCGGCCCTAAGAAACCCTCCTCAATTCCCGGTCAGCGCGGCGGCAAAATATACTCGTTAGTGACAATTTACAAATATACCCTCCAATATTAGTTTCTCTAATTTTGAGTTTATCATGTATACTCAACAAGCTTGCTTGTATTCCTCTAAGATTATTTCAGATTTATCGTTGCTAAATTGATAATGTCTATATTTACATTTACACCTCTAAATTTAAATTTAGAAACAAAGCATTTTAAAATATTTAAAGATATATTAACTTCAATAATAGATATGTAAAACCCGCGACGATATTTATGCTTCTCATGCTCTGCTAATCGTCGGTTCCGTTTCCCCGATCCGTTCTTGTAGGGTTATGTTGAAGATTTCTACGTAAGAAGCACGGCATCGTCGCTCATGGCTTCGAGCTCCGCGATCTTCGGCGCAAAGGTGCGATCTCGTTAGCCAAAGCCCATCTCATACTAGAGGGAAGTGTCTGATCGACCTCTTTTCTTTAGCTGAAGGATTCTGGCTTCACGTCATGCTTCTCGCCTTCGATGAGAGCGCGTCGTTGCCGGAAGCACGCCTTGAACAAAGTGCTTGCAGTTGCGGCGCCTGCCCGATCTCCCTGCTCGCCATCGATCACTGGCTCAGTTGGGAATCCATTCCTTCTGATTTGACGTGGGTTCTTTTGATGTGTTCTTTAGTGTTTAAGGTTTCTTATTTTGCGTTTTTTTGCGCCTTTTGCAATTTGCAGGTCAAGCAAGATGACGGAGAAGATCCTTGCGCGGGCATCAGAGAAGACGCATCTGGAACCTGGAGAGAATGTTTGGGTGACTGTTGATGTCTTGATTACTCAGAAGACGCATCTGGAACCTGGAGAGAATGTTTGGGTGAATGTTGATGTCTTGATGAGTCATGATGTCTGTGGCCCTGGGGATGTTTGGAATCTTTAAGAAAGAATTTGGTCAGAACGCAAAGGTAGCTTTTAGTTCAAAATGATAAAGTTGGCTATTCATTTCATTTATACTGCCTCTTTTTCTTTAGATCCGAAAAGGTAAATATTGTTTGTTTATAATGCATTTTTAATCAAATAAGAATGCTATAATCAATTGTTAGAATCGAGTCAGCACTAAGAGGGGAAGGTGAATTAGTACAGCGGATAAATATACATTGAGTTAAAAATATCGTTCGATAAAATCATTTCCACAAAGGGAGTTTAACTTTGAAAGAGTATGGAAGGGTGTGTAGTAAAAGTAATGAGGAAGTAAAACAGTTTGTAATAAAGTAAAGTTGAATGCAGTAAAGAGATTAAACAGTAAGGAATGAACACACTAGAATTTATAATGGTTCGGTTGTTGTGACCTACATCAACTTCTGATTCCTTCTCCGTCGAGGTCATCGTTATTTATTTGAATGATGCCTTATTTCAATATGACATATTGATAGGGAGAGTATGGTTTAAACTTCGTCATCAATTGGTTGTCATCAGGGGGAGATTGTTGAATCTCAGATTTTGATGAGGAAATCAATTGATGGGTTTCGATCTAATCTGTGTTTTGAGTGATGCAGGACTAACTTCGATCTAATCTGTGTTTTTTGACAGTTTAATTTCTATTTCCTTGTACCCTAAGGTTTATATTAGATGGAGCAATGCCAAACTATTTGCTTGCCAAGGATTTGATTTTGCAAGTAGGTTGGATTACTCGACATCTTGTTGAGTCCATATTGTCTTTAATGACGTTCTTTTTTACTTTGTCCTTATTAACTAGATTATTGGTGAAATAACTGTTGCTGGTGCAAAATCCATGGAGTTTGTTGGCTCTACAGTCAAAGGGCTAAGTGCAAGTACCATGTGTTAATTATATTTTTTACTACAATGGATTTCATTAGAATTGATGCATGATAATTTTTGTTCATGATGGACGAGAGGATGACTTTGTGCAACATGGTCATCGAAGCTGGGGGTAAGAATGGGGTTGTTTCTGCTGATGAACCTACATTCAAGTGCCTTGATGTATGGAAGCTGTACTTTTTGATGATGTGTTATGTTTCTAGTCAATACCTTAGTTAATATGTTTGCAATGCAGTTAATTAGTAAAAACAACAGTAACTGTTTTATTTGTCTATTGTTGCTAAGGAAGGTTACACATTTAGAATAGCCTTTGCTAGAGTTGTTCAGGTCATTTAACTTCTGAGAGAAATTTGCTTGATGCAAAATTTCATTCTTATTTTTTTTCAGGATAAAACTTCCAAGAATTTTGAACCTTTGTAGAGAGATGATAATGCCAGGTATTATAAATTTAAGTTTGTAGATTTGTTGCCGTTCTGGTTCATTCATGATATAATACTGTTTTACCATCTTTTCCATGTAATTGTATTTGTAATGCTGGTTCTCGACTAACAAATGTGCTGATAATTTCTAAAATTGTTTTCTGGTCTGCCAATCTTAGACAAATCAAGTCTCTCAGGTATATGCTGATTTCTGATGCAAATTCAATCAAGGATTTTTTTTCTTTTGAGTAACTTCATGAGAGTCCTCATTGACTGTCACCCCCAAGGATTGCAAACATGATTTCTGATTGTTTTGCATAAGTGTTACAGGCAAATTATGCTCCCACCTGAACCACTAGCCACCTGTCTGCAACCAAATTCCCACGTATAAAATGTCAATGCAAAGGATAGAAGGAAAAGCAATATATCGACATGGAGTCAGTGCATTACTGGTCTTCTGAACATGTGTAGTATGACCATCCTCAAGGAAAATGACCAATAAATTAAGGCAACTTCAATATGAAGGATGTCTATTAAAGGATACTAGCATGATGGTTATTATCGTAGTGTCTTAACTTTTGAATGGTCATTTAGAGAAAAGTTTTCCATTCTATCCTTAGCTGTAGAAAATAAGATCCAACATCATTTACCCAATCAAACCTTGTTAAAGTTGTCTTAGTTTGTGATACTTACACTTATCAGATCTTTGGTCTTGCAAGCCTCATTCTGATTGGCAAGGTATAAACTATAAACTAGGGAAATAGATTGACTTTTCAGGTTGCAAATAGGTGCTCAACAATGAGATTTTTCAGATCTATGAATCTGTATCAAGATGTTTGGAAATAATTTCTGAGCAGTTTAGGAGGTTCTGAAGATATATGACTTAGTGGAACCCGTAACCGTCGGCATTTATGCAATGTATGAATGATTAAGGCATTGGAAAGGGGATTTTGAGAAAGGCATTGGAATTTAATGGAGTTTGAGAGAAGAAGTTTAAGAGTTCCAGTAGGTCCTTTACTTTTTCCCTTTTGCAGGAAAACTATTACCATCTTTTGTTCTCTCCATGCAGAGAGTCTTATAAGTTTACTCATCAATTTTATCTTTTTGTTATCTTTGTGATGATAGTTCCAATTTTAGAAATTCACTAGTCAGAAGTCTGCCATTTTTCATCTGGAAATTCTTTCGGCTCTATAACATCAAAATTATGTTCGTTACTGCTTAACTTTTGATGTTAATCCTTTGGGTTAGCTAAGGCATTCTCGAAGTAATTACTTGTTCATTATAACGTTTGCCGCATTGCGGTGCTGCCTGATATGGGCAATACCTACTCATCTGATAGGAAATCAATATGGGCGGTACATACCAATCTGTCGATACATCCCATCATACCATGTGTCGGTATGTCGGTATATATCATACCGATGATCAGTCAATACACTAGTATGGACCGGTAAAACGAATCATGATTCATTATATTCAAATATTCTTTATAGGTTTATTCAAGAATATAAAATTGATGTCTCCAAGTTGGAACCATTGGTTGCAAAGGTTTGGAAAAATTACACTGATGACTGATCATCCCTTTAGTTCTTGTGGTCAACTTGGATCTAGAATTTTATATTTGACAACAGGAAGCATTAGGTAACATAACATTTTCTGCTAATAAACTACTCTTGATCTTTTGTTATAAATGTACAGCCACATTCTCCTGACAGTCGTGCTCTAGCAAGAGAGTGCAAGGGCATCAAAATTGACAGGGCCTACATAGGTTCTTGCACTGGTGGAAAGATGGAGGATTTTTTAGCTGCAGCAAAGGTGTTCCTAGCTTCGGTAAGGGGCTTTGTATTTTAAATCAATTTCTGCAATTGGTTTTAGTTTGTCTTCAATGGACACCTTCTGTGTGCTGAAAAAAGATAATTAGGCTGTCTCCCTGCCACACTATGCCCATCTTGGACTGTTTGATGACTTATGGATTATTTGGATATGCACTACTGATTTTATGAATGCCTTCCAGCAGTTAATTTAAAAATTCAGTTATAATGACTTATTATGTAAATAATCATATGTGATATGCAACAAGATGCTGTACAAGAGATTTCATGCCTTGCCTTGAAAATTGCAAATGGTCCTTTTCCTGATATCTCAAAATGAGCTTGTTTCTTTTATTCTAAAACTCCTGAATATATGTAAACATTTGTTTCCTTATAAAAATAAGTCTCATTTATCTTTTTTGTCATCCGATTTTCAGAGTAGAATGTTTTGCCTAACAAAATTTTGCATTACTTAATTTTTAATCGGGTTAAAATAGTCTTAAGCTTATATTTTTTCCGTCTTGATGATGCTTGTTGGCCTTTGTCAGATAGAAAAGTGTTCTTCAGAATTAATGCCATCACAATATTTGGATTGACCCACCAGTTGATGAGCCAGAACTTACAGCCTGTTCTAAAATGCTGCTTGAGATGGCTGTCGAAGCAAATGGGCTATGATATTCCCAATAAATTTCCAAGTATCTAACTAAAACCTAGAAACTATAATGTGATTTCAGAAACACCTTTGCTATATTATTTTTGCTTTCTGGAGTCGATAATTTGTTGATTGACAAAAAGCTTTGAGAATTTTGATTATGCTTACAGTATAGGAAACCGTAACGAATTCAAAGAAATTGGTTTACTCAATTCTTCTTTGTGATATTTCTAGTTGACCTAAACTGATGATTCTCTTGCTTATGACCAGGGAAAATAGGTAAGAGTTCCCACATTTCTTGTTCCTGCCACGCAAAAGGTGCAAATCGGAGCTTGCATGTACCAGTGCTTGCTGAGTTGATTATTGTAAATTTCTGTAGGTATGAATGGATATATAGCCTCCCGGTACCAAGATCTGGCAGGAAGACTTGTTCTCAAATATTTGAGGAGGCTGGTTGTGAAGTTCCATGCCTATTTGTTTCTACCACAAATAGGAACTTCCATGGCAGAATGGGTCACAAAGAGGGTCAGATGTATCTTGCTTCACCATATACGGCTGCTGCTTCAGCTTTGACAGGATACGATACTGATCCAAGGGACTTCCTTCCGTGAAAGGAACAAGTATGTAATCTATGTATCATCATAGAGAGTCCATACAAAAATTATGTATGTTTTTCCTCTCTAGCCTATTGTAACTTGTAATGTTAGATGTTTACTACAAGAATAATCATGGGAAATAGCCTGTATATGGTAAAGTTCTTATGTTAGCATAGAGACAAATATAACAAGTCATAAGTTCCACTGTGCTTTGTATGGATTTCATGAATTATGTTGTCAATGTTATCGAGTTGAAATATCTGTGTTCCTATTAAAGTGACTTTGTTATTTCTTCTCTCTCACAGGTTTTTTGGTCATCCATTGCAGGTTGATGGTACCCTATATATGATGCTCAAAGTTTACTTCACGGATCACTTCTTGAGTCTTCACCCTGGTGAGAAAAATCTTATGATTCCCTTTATAAAAATGTATCTCCTTTATTTGCTATATTAAGAGGAATTAAAGAAGGAATTCTATTGTTTTCCTGATTACTTTGATCATAGACAACATCTAAGAAAGAGCTTCGTATGCACCCAACAAGTCATTCCTGTCCGAGGAAAGAAGAAAAGTAGTGCTGCCTCGAAGCCTCTTCAAATTATGGCCTCCGTCCTTCCGCTCTCATCTGTTCTGTTATCCGAACGAGAAAGCCTAATGGAGCTCTTCGGCCTTCATGGCGTGAGGCGGGTAACGGTGGCCATGGGAGCCATCAGTCTGGCCGAGGCCACGTTGGGGGCGGCTCTCATGGGCGTGATGCGGCGCCGCTGGTGCGGCGCCAGGGAGATGGCGGCTGTGGGCTTGACGTCCTCCTTGGCCGTCGCGAGGATTGCGGCCATGGTGGGCATGGCTGTCGCTCAGGAGCTGACGGCGATCGCCATCGGCGCCACCGACGAGGCCTCGCTTGAGGATGACTTCTTCCGAAGGGAGAGGCGGGTACGTCGCTTGCCATTTTCTTAAAAAAATCAATTATTATCTTAAAAAATAATAACTGCCTTCAACTATAAAAATAATTTCATCGCCAATTTTAATATTATACAACTTAAAGAAGATAATTATAAAGGTGGCATAGTGTTGGTACAAATACACACTTGAGAAGCGTTTATACATTGAACACGCGACATGATAAGGTTTGAATGGTTCATACTGAAGTACAAATATGTTGAGGGGTTTTTATACAATATCAAATTTATACTATAGGGAGGTTTGTACATAAATACGAATATGTTGAGGCGTGTAAACATACATATTTGTTGAAGGGCAGGTTGATATACAGATATCCTCTATACGCACTTGAGAGGGGTCGATACGTAAATAAAATTATGTTGAGGGTATATATATATAAGTTGGACGGCTTGGTTCTCCGTCTCCCCCCACCCCCACGAGAAACCCCATGGCGGAGTCTCCTCAGGATGACTAAAAGGCCCTCGCCCAAACCCCTCCTCCCCCTCGTCTCCCCCCTCCCCCGCCTACGCCACCTCGCCGCACTCTCCGGCTGCCTCGCCTGGCTGAGATTATTCCGCTCCGCGGGTCACATGGTCGGCGATCTCGCGGCTGAGCGGACAACCGTCGTCGCCAAGATCCGGAGGGTGCGATGGGCCTCCTTCCTCCTTGGTTCTTGGAATATTGGCGTGGTCCTCCTTGGGTGTTTCTTGATGGTTTATCTCCTCTCCGGTTGCTCCGCCGAGGAAAAGCTGCCGTTTGCCGCGTCAACCATGATCGCCGGCATTAGGGTCGTCGCCATGGTCGGCGCTGGCAAGGCACAGCAAGAGACGGCCGAGATAATCGTTAGTTGTCCTACTGACTCCGCAACCGTCGATGCGGTTGTCCGCAATGACAGACGGGTATTCCGTTTTCCATCACTTTGTCTTTTATCTTTGAGCTTCTTGGATGGTTGTTGAGCGCGTTTTCTTATAAACCCAGAAAGATCGCTTGTGCTTCCTCTTTCTGAAGTTTTTTGAGTTGGTTTTGAGTGCACGTCTTGCTATTTTAGTATAACTTACTGTTTTTCTTTTTGAAGTTTCTTGGATGGGTTTTGAAGTGTCGTCTTTGATCTATGGGCTTATCAATTAGAAGATGCGCTTCAAATGATGCAATTTATGTTTGAATTGGAAATTTTCTTCACTTATCAATGTCGACAGGTCATAGTGTTTTGATCTCATTGCAAATAGTCATAAACGTTTAGGTTGTGCCATATTACAAACCTTTAGGCAGCACACTTTCTATACTTTTTGTCATGCTGTTCTTTTACTTCGTATACTTTAGTTCTTGCTAACTTATTTGTGGTTATAGTCTCATGGTGTCTTTCTTTTGTTGTGTAGTTGAGGTACAAAAGATGGCTTTGCTGGACCAGATTTGGAATGGTGGTCACAGTGCTTCAATTTCTTGGAGCCATCTACCTAATGTTCATTGTATTGACTGATATATCTTATGGTGGAAGATCTACATCCTGCTTTTTAGGTAATTATCTCATTTCCATACTCTATCTTGATAAGTTTAACTTGTACATGTTATGCCTATTGCTTTCATCAAAATATATGCTTGAAGATTGGAACAATCTTTTTCAGTTATATCATAATTAGGCTGGAACCGATTGAAAAACTGTATGCACTATATATCTATTATAGCTCTATGCTTGTAGGCGATTTTCAAGTCAAAAGCTTTATGAAAAGATAAATATTGATGTGGTGGATGTCGGTAATGTCTGAATCTGCCCGATTCAGTCCAAGACCGTGTGCACAAGAGGCTCAACGTGGCTGAGGAGGCAGCTCAGGCGTCTGCCTAATGATCGACCTGCACGAAGATCAAGGTCGAGTACGGTGCCTAACGAGGTCTCTCTGACACTCAAGTTAGTCCTGCGGTGGAAAGTGACTCACATCAGGACTTTTATGGTGGGCTTGACCCAAGGGAATATTTCACGTTGGATTCTTTATTGTGACTTACCTTAGATGGACGCATTATTGGCTAGGCTCCACTCTCTGTGCTGATGCGCCGCCATGTGTTGAGCTGCAATTGGGGGGCGAATATCTCCCCATCAAATATCAAGTTAATTCTCATTAGAGATTTACAACTTTGAAAGTAGAAACTGATTATTGAAGCAAACGTTAGTGTTCCAATTGAATAATAGTTCCTTGTTTTTATCGTTGGAATGTCAAATACTTCTAGCAAAGATGTAAAAATTGTTGGCTTAACTTGCTACGATTTCATAGTAAGAGAGATAAAACATAGATGCTGTTTACCAACACTAGTTCTGCATTAATATATGCCAATGATGTTGCATTCCCAGAAGCTTGTACTAATGATGCCGGATTTGAAGGCATCTTCATCTTTCATCTAGTGATTCATGGAGTTCTTTTGATGTTGCTTAGTGTTAGATTAAGATTGTTATGATTATTTATTTGTTTTGTTTTCCTTCAAAATGTGTTTGGGCTAGTTTGAGTTGCCTTTGTTTTATTACAACTTTTAAGATGGTTATTAGAGTTTATTTTAGTTTGGGATTTTTTGAAGGGGCTCTGTATATAAATAACTCACTGAATTTTTCCTATGGTCTGATTTTGTGACCTTTCTCTCATTTACGACTCCCTACCATTCTCAAAATTAAATATTTTTTCCTTCACTGTAATCAAGCAATTTCTTGTCATTATCAACTAAACGAAGCATAGGTTCTGTTTTGTGTAGTTTGTAGTGCTGAAGTGTCATTATCAACTAAGATTATTTGTTGAGGCAATCATTATCAACTGAATCTATTTGTTGAAACAAAGATATGGAAATTCCGTTAATTTATTTCTGTTAGCAACATGCAAAAGGAGGTATTTGATCTTATCACAAATATTTAAGATTTTTTGAATTTCATCTGGTCACATTAATCCTCTACTTAATCAAATTTCCAGGTGCCCTTGTCCATGATGACATTCACCAACATTCCTTGGTAGATCCATCTGTTCCTTGCTTTGAAGCTTAAAGCGCCATGCAAGAAAAGATGTTTTCTTTAACTCATGATGTTGGGTTCACTTGTCCTTAATCAGAAAACAACATGAGTTCTGTAATTAATTTGCCTTTGATAATGAGTTATTCATTTGTTGTTAATGATTGTTTCAATTTTTTTCATTTACAAACAACTTGGGAGTTGGGATGACTTCAACACAAAACGTTGCAAATTTTCATGAACAAGACACACCCTGCTTCTCAGTCAGTTTATAATTATTTACTTTAATGTCTTGACTTAAGGATTATGTTTCTTAATTTATGGTTCATGATAATGTACAACGTGGTATCTTTTTACACAGTACACTCTTATCATGTTTTATGCCTCCTTCCTCTTCGTGGCTAACTTTGTTTTATTGATTCTCATGATGGTGCTTTAGGACAGGATGCTGTCAATCAAGCATGGAAGAAAACTTTAGTTGTTTCCTTTCTTCTACTGGTGTGGCTTGTGATCCTCATACAGTGCTTTACGGGATCTGATGTTTTGAGATGGAGATCGTTTTATTCAACGCATGATACTGCCTGGAAAGCACACTACCGGGAGGTATTTGATCATGGAATTCGGGAAGCTTTGTGCTGCGTAGGACGTGTGAAGTACTTGTACGGTTCTTTCAGTAATTTGGCTTTTTACAGTAATAATTTTAGTTTGCAAATTAACTTTTTCTCATTGTTTATCCAGGAGTGTTTTGGAAGAAGATGAGGTTTACTCTGTTGCAAGGCTCTTAGGTGATCTTGTGGCATATCGAGCATCAGGAACTGGACATCTTGAACTTTTGATAGGTCCATTTTCGTCATACAGAGCAATATTTCAACATTTAATAAGTTGATGTGTAACTTCTTATGCTATCCACTTGTTATTTTTGAATGCATCAACATCTTCTTGTTCACTTGTGATTTGGTCGTTTCATGTTACCAATGGTTTAAATACTGATCATAGCACTACATTGTAGTTTCTGATTGGACAATTACTGTGCTGAATAAACAGGTCTATACTTAGCAATGAGGTTGCTTCAACTTTCAAGTGGATTGTCTAGTGTTTAAGTTGTCTTCCCAAGTTTTAAATTTAAACTTACTCTTAGCAGTATATAATTTCTTTTCCTGTCTATATGAAAATATTGGTTGGTACCTTGTAATCTTGTATAATTAATTTTAAAGGAATATGTAAGTCCACTTTGATAACATCAGTATCTTGCATGTCTGCAATAAAGGTGTGGTTGAGAGAGTCTAGGTGGGACTACTAAATGTCTAATTGCATTCTAACATCATTTTTCAATAGTGGATCTTGAAGAAACTATCTTGGGCAAAGATCACCTAATTTTTTTATAGCTGATATTTGATAATGTTTGTACATGGACTAGCTGGCATTGTTTATGTTAATGTCTTTCCTGTGTTCGTCAGAAGTGATTGTTGGTCCTTGTAGTTGTAAGCACTAATCTTTTGTGAGATGACCTTGATCTATGTGTCCCAAGAGTTCTATGGTTGCAAGATCCATTCTTTAGATCGATCTTGTTACCTCGAAAGATCCATAAACTTTTAGATAAATTTTAGTGCCCCAACAATTATCTTTTCTTCTCATCTGGGTCACTTGCCATTAAATGGTAGCAACCTCAACGGCCACTCCTATGTTTAGCTTAGGTACACTTGTTTATTAATATTTATATTTCCTCCCTATTCTTTCTCTGTGTATATTTGGTTTTATTTTCTACAACTTTTTTTTCAGTGGTCATTTTTTTTTCAGTAGATTAAGGGGAAAAAAAAGGAGAATTGCTATCCGGAAGGCCAAAGAGAGGGATAGATTTCTATATTAGATGAAAATATGTAGGGTGGATGACCTGACAGATACTAGGAGAGTTCTGCTGTTATAGAGAGAGAAACAACCAGCTTATGCTTTACTTTGGTAGACCATAGCAGGAGTTATGATGCTGGGAAAAAAGAATGGCAAAGAATGCCCCACTGCACATCCAACAGAATAGATTCCTAACTTACAATGTTAGAATACACAACAATTAGCTTTGTGTGTGTTGGGGGGGAGGGGGAGGGGGGATTGGAGAAGTTTTGAGGTGAAAATCGGGAGATGGACTGTGGTGGAAGGTTCTTGACCATTGGCTTAAAGATCTATCTCTAGGGATATAGTAGGACTACAACTGTCTCTATTTAGATAAATGAAGTCCAGTGTGAGTTTAAACCTGATTCAATTAATACTTAAACTAAAGCTGGTAAAAACCAATCAATGGACTCGTGTAAATCTCACTTCCAGTTTAACAGGGTGGTCTATTGGCTGGAGTCATTGAAAACAAAGCTCATTTCAAAGTTTAAAACCCATCATTAAATGTTTAATGGGACCCTAAGCTTGCATTAAACAAACTATTATAAATTACTATATCTTCCAGTCTGCATTTGGCTTAGCAGTCTGTCGTTGCCTCTGTAACTTGATGAATGTCTTGGCCATCTGATTTCCTTGTGAAGTAGCTTTGACCTCTGAATTGATCCATTTTGGCTTTAGTGGCCATCTACTAGCTAAGTTATTCTAGAGAATACAAGATGTTAAGTAGAATGCTCTGTGCCTCCATCTAGAGACAGGTTTGTTCTTATGTTTCAACTTCAACTTAAGAATTACAGCTTCAAGAAGGTTTGAATTGCATTTAAGTGGTTGGATATTCTGTGAATGCATCAATAACAAGAATGTTCTTGACTTTTGCAATAAGCAATGGTGGGTTGCATGGGGTCACAGTCTGGCTACTGCATATGCAACTAGCTCACTTTGGAAGTTATGGATCTTGACCATTAGTAGTAACCCATTTGCAAGTCATTCAGAGCATAAATAAGATTATTAAAAAGTTTTTTAAAATCAAGATTTTCATCAAAACTCTCTTAGAATATTATGGTTCTTGTGCCATTTTCATCTGATCAAGATTCCTTTTTAACAAAATATCTTTGAAATACTTTTATGTTTCTTCTGCACATCTAAATTTCTTTACCCTTTTCATACTTAAATATGCTGTTTCTTCTTTTTTTCTTTAATGCCCTTCCTCAGGACTTGCTCTATTGCAAAGCCACAAACAAATGCAAAATTTGCATGATGAGCTTCTGGATGCACCTGATATACTTGTTCAAAAGGCAGCATTCTTCCATCAGTTCGCTGAAGCCGCTTACACAGTTATCTCCAAAGTTCTCTGAAACTCATGCTTTCTTAAGAATATTTTCTAATGTCCAGGTCTTAATGCAGGGACCGCTGCTTGATTTTGGTCGAAACCCCATCTTGTTTCCCTGTGCGTGGCTTTATAGACAAGGATTTTTGACTCCCTGGGCTCGTGACAGGTTTCAGTTTCTCCATGAGATATCTGGAATTGTTTCATATACATTTGTTATTCTAGAGTAGAGTTATTGCCAAGAATGAACTGTATATAACCTTGAAATGAAAAGAAACTATTTTACCCTTGAAATGTTAGACCGTGATATTACTTCTCGACTGATAAAACACATTTACCTGTATGCTGTACCAGCTGTACATCATTGACCAAGAATGCATACACTATGTTTGTGCCACACCCTTTTTCCTCGTCAATTTGCATGCTTGCCAAGTTTGAAGTGCTATTTCCGATGATGACTTAATTGTCTTATTGAAGCATTCTATCAGCCTGATAGAATTCTGCATTTATATGCATGTCATTGAATACCTAGCCGATGAGATTTCTGTAGTCTATATTGATTTGCAGATACTAACCCTTTCTTAGGTTTTCCTTAATAGGCGACCTTTACTTGAAGGTGATAACTGGTGGCGTGGACATGCAGCAGCCTTCCTTAAATTTGTCAATCTACCACCTAAAGCTCTTCATAAGGGTCGAGTTAGTCAAGTAAGGTTACTTAAGTCGTGTCTCACCAAGAACTAGGAAAGGCATTAAATTTTCTGCACTATGTGTGTTGCACATTGTCAAATTGAGGCTTTAAAAATAGTCAGCACAGTAGTGTTTTTGTTATGTTTTGACAGCATAATATAATTAGCATTGTCCTCCTGTGCTCACTGAAACAAGCCATTAACTAACATGACTATAGACTGCTGGTTATGATATGGTAAAAGAGCACTTTTGGCATAGTTCATTTGGTTCACCTATTACCACTAAGATTTTCAGTTTTGCTTGCACAAAACTTAGTTTTGTTCCAACCATCAAGATATCGTTTTATGGGCATGTGCCAACTGACGAGTAATGTGCATTGTAGAGAGTATTCATAACACCTTTGGAATGGCACAAAACTTTGTGATTGTACTAGGCCAGCATTCACTGTCACAACCTTCCACCTGAAAGCCTGATTTTCCTTTGAATACTTCCTTTTTACTATCCTAAAATTTGTTTTGATGTCTATATCATGATCATGATCTGGGAGGATGGCTGCATTTTGCATAATATATAAAATTGCGACTTGAGGTAGTAAATTAGGCAACTGAAAGCATTTGAGTTTTCCCTCCAGCTAGTTGTCAATTGTCATTAAAAACTTAAATGTATTTATTTTTTGCTGCATCATCACATTTATCATGACTACATCATAATTTTTTTAACACATGATTATTAGAATGAAAATGGGAAGTTGCCTTTATTTTTCATATGACCCTTTAACACTGACAGCAGTTCATTTAAGTTGACACGAGAATAATAGGTTTAAATATCTAGTGTCTGCACTAAATGAAATTCTAACAATCACAACAAAGAAGTTCTAACTGACTGCATTGATGCTTTTAAGTCTAGCAAAACTGTATTCTGAATTTTTGGAACATGTTTTATGAGATTCTTATTTTTAAAAAATAGGCTTCATTTCTATTTTCATAATGATCATGAAACAGTTTCTTTTGACACACTTTCTGTTATAATTTGGTAATGCATATCGATATCTTAGCGAGCTGCAGGAGGTTCAGCATTTTACAGATACCTAGGCAATTTCTTGTTGTAAATTAGGAGGGAGATGACTCTTTCCAATCATAATCTCACAAGATGCACCACTTATTGTTCCTGAATAAAACGAGTGTTATATGTTTTTTCAGTTGTCTTGCATGTCACAAAAACATTAGTTGATGATGGATTCTTCTTCACTAGTGCCCATGATTCCTGATACAACATGATGTGGGAGATGTCTGATTTAAGTTAGTTATGGAGTATGCAATCGTTAGATACTTGAAATTGGATGATTTGGCAATAGTGACCATGTCTGCTCCTGTTAACTATTGGAAACCTCTAGTTTTTCTTATTGGTTGCAATTGTACCTCAACTCCTTTGAAATTAGTGTCAAATCATGCATTATATTTATGAAAAGCTTTTGATAATTTTGGTATCTCTGTTCCATCTGACATCTCTTTCCTTTGCTGACATTGTAGACAAAGCGGGAGGCTGCTTACTTTGTTGTGGTTCTGCATGATAAAAAGACCATAGTAATTGCTATACGTGGAACTGAGACGCCTGAAGATCTCATAACTGATGGTTTATGCAGGGAGTGCGCCCTAACTGTGGAGGATTTGGACGGTCTGATAAAGTAACTATTATCTATCCATATCCCTTGTCGTCTCTGTTTGATTGTTCCACTAATGCTTTATATTGATGCGGCAATACCTCATCTTAATAATTTCTTATTTGATGAGCAAAATAATGCATATAGTTCTAGATGATACATTTTGTTGTATCTAAATATGTCTTATAGTTCGTTGATTGATCCACATCATGTTTCTATATTTTGACATCAGAGTCGTCAATAAAGAAACATTTCCTAATTGGTTCACTGCCTTTCATGTCATTATGCTGTACCTATATGGTACATCTATTGTTGTTGGAAGATGAGTTAGCAGGCCTTCTGATTGCTACATATGGCACGATGAAAGAAGATTTATTCTAGAAGTTCCAGGATTTGTGTTACCTTCTTTGTGAACCTGTTTAACGAACACAGATGGTTAGTTGATGTCAGGATTCTGGAATGGTTCTGTTAATTAGTCTAATTTTTTTTACTCAAAGTGACAGTTATCCTCGAGAGAAAATATTTTAAATACATTTGTACTCTGTAAGTCTGTATAAACCCTGGAGAATTTTGACATGTGCTCCTTGCTATAATGTGTTAGCTATGTACTGTTCTCAGTTTCATGCAAAACTATATATGTCCAAAGTTGAATTGATGTTGAGTTTTAATCAGACTTCAAGGATTGAATTTAGCATAGCCGGTAGATTAAAATAGTCCTTGAATGGAAACCATCTTGTGGCAATGAGCTTTGTTTTGATCAAGCATGCTAAATATGAAAATTGTTTGGATGATACTCTTGTAATTAGGGAATATTTTTACATCTACAGAGACATCATATATTACAAGACACTATGCACAAGCTTGAGTCATTTCTACTGAGAACCAACGCTCGAAGAAGGAAAAATACATGACTGAAATCTTCTTAGTTCTTATGTCTAGATTCACTTACTGAATCAATTGCAATGCCTAAGCTATTGGATTTCATTATTACATACCCAACGGTCAAGCTTCCAAAGTTCCTATTACTTTTGGTTTGTTTTATACCTGGCCTACATGTTTAAGGTTGTCTGCTTTAACCTGATTCCTGATTCAGGCACGTAAATCCGTGCTTAATCTAATTTGATCCACTCTAACTCTGACCTTTAACATGTTTATGTGGATTTATGTATGTTTCAGATGAAATTAGCATCTCTTTTCTCTGACTTTTAACATGTCCATGATTGCCCTTGGCCCACTAATATTCATCACTTTCTTTTAAATTCTTTGTTCGTCATATTTGTACCTTAATTCTTGATTGTATATCCTCCATATCTTCCTACATTGTCATGTATATATTCCTTAACAAATCTTGTCATTATACTGGACAAGTTTCGTAATGAAGATAATAAAAAAAATGCTGATGGAACTAGAGAATATAGAACATCCTTAATCATTTCCTCTAGATCAAGGTCTATTTAATGCTATGAATGGTCTTCTTTCTTTTACTTTATCGAGCACAGATAGTGGTCAAGACACTAAATTCATTTACTAAGAGATTTTGCAAATTTCATTGTGCACTTGGATTTACATTAACTCAGAGATGGTTAGACAGGACCTGTAAATGTTCCCAAATTTGACCCTTTTTTGTCGATGAATGTACATATTCATTAGCAAACAATATGCACAAGTTTATTAGGAAAATCCTTAGTGAATTCATCCACTACTATTGCTCGAATGCATTTTATTAGAAACAAAAATGAAAAGATTTGATAGCTTCTAGTTTGTCAACTGATGTTTCCTTCAATAGATCTCCAGTCATAAAAAAAGAAAAAAAAATCCATGTACTAGATCCAAATAGTTGAGATTCTTGATGATCTGGTTTGTCTTGTTTATATTTTTGCATCCTCCATGCTCTATCAAGTCAACTGAAACTCAATTTATTCACTTTATGCAGTAGTGAACATTTACCTTCAGCTAAGAGACAAAAAGTTCTTTCTTCTTTCCCACATTATGGACATGCAGGGATTGTTGAGTCTGCCAGGGAACTTTTCATGCAAATTGATGGCGAACATGGAGACAAAGGTCAGGAATTTATTTCAATTACTCAATCTGCTATCTTCAGTATTTCTTTACTCTTTGATATGCTTATGACTAAATTATTTTCATGCATTTTGGAAATACTCTATAAGAAATTAAATTGGAAACAATCCACTAATATAACTTTTGGAACTCAGTGTTTTGTGATAAAATTGTTCTGCATCAGCTTATTTGGTGATGGCCTTTGTTTTAACTGATGGATATTATATATCTCCTAGGAAGAACCTAAACTCTTTGCTATGTCTTTTTGTTTATTGGAATATAATTAAAGGACCTTTAGACCATGCATGGTGTTAAGATCTTATTGTGCTTCCTGTTGAATTTACTTTGAGGGATGAAGGAATTTGTTGCTTGGTCTGTATTCTCAACTTGAGATGACATATAGGGGTGAGTCTTGTTTGGTCGCTCAAATAGTATGTTTCAAAGTTGGAAATGCTCTCATTCTAGATAACTATTTTCATTGTGATCTGCACTTTTAGCTCAAGTTTCCTTACTCAGAATGTCACCAATTAGTAAGGACTTTATAGTAGGTTGACAGTTTGCGACAAGATCTCGTAGAACTTTAATCTTGAACACCTTCATCAAGAAGCTTAATACATGTAGGGTAAAGGGGGAATTCACTTAGTTGTTCCATTAGAAATGGACAATGAGAGCAAATGTCACCTCGGTCCAGAATCATGATGGCCGGTGCATGCTAGAATTTTCAAATTTTTAGGAAATGCATCAATCTTATGCTATTTTAAATGGAAATTTTCTTACGGGCTTCTCTAGTGAAAATTTAAATTTTATCTGGTACACTACAACAAGTTCTTCAAATTGCATGGTCATTTAAGAATATCTATGTTTGGTTGTTAACTGCTCTATGGGATGTTTCTTTTCAGAAATGAACTAATGCAAGTGTATCTCATGCATCTTGGGAAACTCTGATGCAGCCACAGGTCATTGCTTTAGAAATGAACTAAAGCAAGCATATGTCATTCTTGTAGATCATGAATTTCATGTGCTTGTAAAAACTGGTGCAGCCACAGGTCAGCATGGGTTTTCATGTGATGAGTGTCCAATCACATGAAATTTCATGGCATGGATGCCAGCTTATGCTGTGTCAGCTTACCAGGACATGGCATGCCAGTGAAACTGATGTCTTTGATGTACACATTTCGTTTAGTTTATATTTGGTACTTATATATCAGCACCTTACAGATGCCTCACCATCTGAAATATCTGGATTTCTGGCGTCGTTGTTGGGACCTGGATCTGAATGTCATGGATATGAAGTTAATATTGTGGGGCATTCTTTAGGTGGTGCTATTGCAACACTTTTAGGACTAAGGGTAAGTACCTTTTGATGAGAGCTTCTGTAGTGCATTGCTTAATTCTATCACTTTCCTACAAATTGAAGAATTATTGTATACAAATTATGTCTGAATCATTTGTTTGATTCTTTTCTTATATATTTTCAGAAAATAGTAAATATGTTAGCCTTTATGTATCAGAGGCTTGCCAGATTCTTTTGTCCAGTACTCAATGTTCATTATTGTAAATGCACATATTGTATTTGCAGACATTATTTCACAATGCAATTTTATGTTATTTTGACCATACAATGGTAGATGTTTAATTTTTCTCCTCATTGTTTAGAAAGATTTAAATAGATGATAGAAGGAATTTGCTACAGTTAAATAAGCTATCCTCTTTTAGTTTTGGCCAGTCTTGTGGGATATTGGTGCAGTGTTTACCTGGTTTATCATGTTTACATGAACTAAAAGTGGGTCATTGGATTAATAATTGTGTTTACTTTTTTCCATTTGCTCTGTTTGTGTTCTCTACAAAAGGATGTTCAGAATGATGCTGTGTATCAGTTCTTTTCCTAATCAGTTTACTTTTATGTTTTCAGAAACCTTTAACCTCTAAACATGGTAAAACAGTAAATACCTAATACAACAATGAACCAGTGACAGACAAATACTCTCCACATGTTAAATTTTAGGCAACTTTTCTGAATGCACCAATTGATCCTCAGAACTCTCATACGAGTTTAGCAGTTACTTTTATAGTCAAGAAAGTTTACAGATCTCAATGAGATTTTGTTAGTTGATATACGCTACAAGAGTTAGAGGATGTTGAGTAGTTGTGAGGAGCTACCAGTGATAAAAGATTTTATTCATGAATAATTAATTGCATCTTCAGTAGATGATAAAATGATGAAGAATCATATAAAATTGGTATAAATATATGCCGAGGAGGTCTGTAAATGCAGTATTTGAGAGAGGTGACATAATTAATTGTTATTGTATATGGAAAGACAGAGGGAGACTTAAGAAGATTATTTAGAAATTACTAATAAAGACTTGAATGCCGTTAATCTAACTAAGGATTTTGTTATCTATGGAGCTCAATACGTTAAAAGATTCATGTGGCCCAACTCTAAATGGCGGCAAAAGATTCATTATGACGTTGTTGTTGTTGTTGTTGTTTTTGAATCTATTCTGTATTGCAGTTTAGAATACTTAGTACATTCAATAATTTTTCCATATGGTTTTCACTATGAGTGAAAAGTCCATATTTATTGGTTATTTTCTGATTTTTATTTTTATACAAAATCTAGTTTTTTCTTGCATAATGAGCTTGATATTTTAATCCTTTTAAGTTCAAATGTGCTATTAAATGGATTGTTACCCTTTACATCATTTCATTTTTCTTCTATTAGTTGTATCGATGGTACCCGAACTTACATGTCTATGCTTATGGAACTCTTCCTTGTGTGGATTTTGTCATAGCTGAAGCATGCACAGACTTTGTTACTACGTAAGTATGGTTAAAATTTTACTCTGGGGATATGTTCCCATGCACACAGCCTTTAACTATCATGTTCTAAATTCTTTGCAGCATTGTTTACAATGATGAATTCTCTGCACGCCTTTCAGTCAACTCAATCCTCAGGCTTCGTTCTGCTGCAACTAACGCTCTTTCAGATGATTCTTTGGCTGATTCAGCTATAATACAAAAGTTTGCTCGAAGAATCCTTCATGTTAACAAGTACCTCGAGGATGGGCAGAACCATAATGTTTCTGCCTCATCCGTGAGACCGTCTTTGGCAGCTACTGAAAAGAATCATGTTTCTAAAAGGAGGCCATTCAAACCAATCACAGGTGGTTATTTATGCTGTTATTTAGAAGTCGTTACTGTTGATTACCTTTAGTGGATGGTTGTAGCAAGTCTGAATTTTTTGGCTTATGTAACATATATTTCTATATTTTTGCTGTAGTGAGTGCCCAAATGAATCAGGATCTTTATCTGGAGGATTCTTCTTTGTTTGATGCTGATGCTTCAGAGACACAGGTTTTGGTAGACTGTGATGTCTGGAGAGCAAATTCCTGCAGAACTGTCAGTTCCAAGGACACATGCTTAATCATGGATCGGATGACCCAATTTATGGGGGACCAACCATCATCTACGCAGGTACCAGTAGAACCACCAGAAATGTTTCTGCCAGGCTGCATTGTTCATATAGTACGAGAACCGAAAAGTATTTTGCCTTTCTGGAAAAGTTGGAAACTTTTTGAGGGAGACCATAATTATAGAGCTTTTCTGCCAACGAGGGAAAGCTTCAGAGATATCAAAGTTACATCTCATATGTTCATTGATCATCTCCCTTGGAGGTAACTGCCTACCAATCTTTTTTGGACATGTACACAACATTTATCTTTTTATTTGCTACAAAACTTTTGGACATGAAATTAAGAGGATGGAAATCTTGAAGTAATGAAAGAGGGAAGCAAATATAGAAAAAAGGAAAAAAAATCTGATCATTTCTTAAGAGAGAGAAAAGAGGGAGAGAAGGAAGAATGTGTGTTGGGGGCTGTGGTAAAGAATGGGTATCCATATAACCAAATTGGATTCTGTGGGATCCAAGATTAAGAAATAAGAACTCGTTAGCTAACTTAGCCATCTGATCCAGTGTAATACATATACGCAGCTTGATTTCCTACCCCATGGTGTACATTGTACAATAACCAAAACTGAACTGAATGTCTTCAGTTTTTATGCCTGAAACTAAAAGTCTAAAACTGATTTGAACTGCAAGAGAAACCACAGCAAAACCAGATCAAATTTCTTTGGTCTTTATGCTTGAAATCAAAACTGATTTTATATAGAAGAAGAACTGCACAAAACCAAACCAAACAACCTTGGTTCAGTTTATTTTTTCAGGTTTCTTGAATTGTTTGTTTATGTGACTGTCATTCATTGCTTCCTAGAATTGATTCCAGGGAAGATTAGAAACTAAAGGCCATGAATTTGAAAAAATATAGCAACTTTCATTTATTTGGTATATTATAAACAATTTTGTACTATCTCCCTAATTCTTATACTGTGATTTGTAAATCTTGTTTTTGATTAAAAAAAATTAGACCATTTGATATGTGATTCATCTGTCATTGATGCAGGTTTTTGTTTTTGTTCACTGTTCTGCAGGTGTCATTATGCGATCCAAAGAGTATTAGAAGAACGCGAGTCTCAAGGCCGACATTGTTCCAACTTATTAGATGCAAAAGATATAGCCAATCTCAATTTACTGGATTTGGTTTCATAAGATTGCAACAAATATAATTTTGTGCATGCTTACATGAAACATGCATGTTGTATCTGCTGGGCGAGTTTATGGTCAAATCAGCAAATCCTTTTTCGTCACATGAATATGCAATTAATGAAATAAAAGAATGAATATTGCACATTGTACTTCTGTGAATATGCGTGTAAACCCACCTGTTTGATATTCATAACAGTCACTATACATTTAAATCCTGCTGATGTTATACTAAATTCAAGCTGATTCAAGTCGTTTGATATTCAACAACCAAATTCTGGCCTTGTACTGCATCGGTTTCTTGGTTTAGTCTCATAGCAATTTGGTTGCTAATCCTAACATCTATTTACGAGGTTATGGAAGTAGTGGATATGTGTTTGCAGGTTGAATAAATCATCACAAGACATATCTTTTCTATAATATTAAGCAAGATGAAACAGTTTCATCTGGCTGCCCTTCTTCTGGTCCAAAATATTGCAAATTATCATTTGTTGCAGCTGACAACTAGCGCCTCAAATGAGACAAGTTATCATTAGTATTTTGGTATTTAGGCAAGTTAGAATTTGTTCGGTTTATCTTTTCTACAAAATCAGAATTCATATCTTCATCTTATTCTTTTGTACTAATAATACAGGAACTCTCGCACTTGCAGGGGCAGATATATCTGTGGCCTTCAGTGGCAAATGAGTAGAATCTTCCTTTTTGTCAAAGATGCTACTAGTAGGTACATATTATTTATGCGATGTTAATTACGAGCTCCTCATTTATCTGGATTGTAAAGAAAGCACCTTTTAGAATTCTATATCATAAACTTTATCATTTTTGTCACTTGAATAACTCTTGCATTCTAAATTGTCTTCGCTCCATATTCCTGTTGAAGCTACTTTGTTCATGTAGTAAAAAAAAAAAGAGCAACAATAGCTTCTGTAGAAAAAAAAGGGATTCTATTAGGGTTTGAATTACTTCTCAGTCAAATTTGAAAAGTATCGGGAAATTGCTGATATGAAATTATTGTTCATTTTTGTTAGTAAGATGTCCATAACTTGTTGCATTTAGGTGTCCCCAAACAAACAAAATAAGAATATAAATATAAACTCTAACTTTCACTTCATTTGGTGAACTAGCTCTTAGTTCTTGATCATATGCTTGCAATTGCTGTATATACCATCAGTACAGGCTCATCCATCCCCTGCAAATGGTAAAGATGATTCAGATGCTTGGGACACTGGAAAATTCTGGTTGTCATTGCTAGGAAATCGTATGTGCCAAAGCCCCATTGGAATTCTAACCAAATAATCTCAACCTGCATTTAATTTCAGCACAGCTGCTCCACTTGCTGGAAAATGGTGGGCTTACTGGATCCTGTGCCACCATTGAGATATAATTAGTGGCTGATGCTGGTACTCCAACTGTCCAACGTCCGTGACTGTTTTGTTTACAATGTTGCTGGAAGAGATGTGATTGCCAAGGCCAACTCTGTCACAGATACCAAGTTCATCGAGATCTAAGGTGTCTCCGGTCTGAAATTTGTTGTGTTCTTGATTGATAACATTGTTGTAGTATGCTCGATTGGATCTCTTTTAAGTTTCATGGACCACATGAAATCTATATTGCATTGAAGAGAAAATATATTGCAAGACTGATTTCAAATTGCTTTTAGTTTTATGTATCATATTATATCCTTTCTTTGGCTTTGCAAATTTCGTAAGAGGCAATTGAGATTATATATTGGGAGTGCGATGCAATTTTTGTTTATCATTTTACTGCATGGTGAAACCCTACGCATTGCTATGTTTTGCTCTACCCCGCTCCTTCCATTTTGCGTTGCAAGTCCAAGTCATGCTGTTTTGTCAAAACATCTTTTATTACAAGATTAATTTTGATCACACTTGAATCTGTCATTATTTTTTATATTTTTCTTGTTAGTTATTGGTTTCTCATACAACAAGAAATTCACCGAACACTTTTGTTATTAACTTGAAGCCATGCTTTTCCATGACATCTTATGTCACAAAAATTGTTCTTTCCATAGTTAAATCTTTCATTGATTGCATAGTTTTCATGTAGGTTGGCACGATTAATAAAAATATTCTTTTATAGTGTTGTTTTCACTGGTAGGTTAATAAAAATATTCTTTTATTAATTACTAGCCAGAAGCATCATCAATCATCGTTTTTTAATCTACAGGGTAAGGTTTCTTGCGAAGCATGTTTCTCCAATTGGCGCCATGGGATATCTGTACTATTGCTCTCTTGATACTACTATTCTTTTGTTTGGCATTGTTTTTAAGTGCAATATTCTCGTCACCCGAAAATTTTATCGTTGAGCCTTTCATCTGCCGTGGTTTTAAGCTCTATCGAATTGTGATCTTGAATGACTCGGTATTAACTCCTCATTCTCTTTCTCTTGCTATCTTAATTTTTGTATTTATTGTGCCAATAAAACCTCGAAGCCCCCAAATCAACAGTTGATCAATATAGGAAAACAATTAGAGCTGAATTGTGTTAGATCTCTATCCAAGACGGATAATGAAAGCTTAAAAATAGATGTGTGTGTATGTATATAATATATAGGAAAAAATATGAAACAAAAAGAATAATCATTAAAACAGGCTAAGGAGATTTTTTTTTTTTTTTACCCGCATGTTAGAAACGCTAATTTAAGAAATAAAAGCAACAATGGAATACCTCATTGGTAGCAAATTAGATATATGTATAGATAAATTAAGAGGAGAAAAAAGAGGGGCCGCAGCAACAACGAATCGGCAAAAGCTGGTGGTTGTCTCGGGGCGGTGAAGGAACTCGGACACCCTTTTGTTATTTTCTTTTACTCGAGACTTTTGTCAACCACTTGCAGCCGTGGACTGCGGCTGCCTCTCCTGTGCTGATTAGAGAGAGAGAGAGCGAGCGAGAGAGAGAGTTCCACGGTGACACCACTCCAGCCAGATTCCGCTCTCTACCGTCGTCCCGTCCTCTCCTAGATGGCCCAGCGCCGCCTCGCCGTCCTCTCTTCCCACCTCCTCCAAACCGACCCTGTACTCCCATCAGCCACGCACCGGCGGGCGGGGCCCGTCGAACCTTTGGATCTCGCCTCCACTTCATCCTGCTGCGCTGGCGGAGGCGACGCTGGACGGGATGAGGAGAAGGGATGCGTCTTTTGTAGGATCATCCGTGATGAATCCCCCGCATTCAAGGTAGAATATACTCCTTTGATCAGTTTATGCTATTTGATACCGGATTTAGTCGTACAAGATACTTTCTTGAACGACTTGGAGTGTTGATGGGTTTTATTTGTCCATATTATAACTCGTATTCGCTTTCTTCTTTTTAGTTTCGTTTTCTAAAAAAGCTGCTTATGAATATTGTTATGTTCTTCTTCTGGCTTTTATTCTCTCTTTTTCCCAATTTGATTCCTTGTATATTATTCTGGCCTAATCTTGAGAATCACAACCTCTTCATGTACATAGGCTACTAATGATCGTTCGTCACTTGGTTAGTAAATTAGTACAAGTGGCCTAGCTGGGCTATTCATCTAGAGGGAGTTAGTATTGCTTGCTTGGGGCCTCAAAGTAGGTTGAGTCAGATGGAACGAGATGGAAGGCTTTTGCTCTACTAAGAAAATTGATGTGGCCTTTTCACTCTTAAGAACTGGTTTGGGTCCTTTATTTTAGGTTTCTGTTAGACATGTGCTTTAAGCCAGCTAATCTTAATAATAACCAAAAAAGAGAGAATTACCAAAATTTGGGTGTTCAGATGAAAATAATATCATTGTTTTGGATTTTCAATTAAACAAATATGAGATACGATTACATCTTGTCGTAGGTCAGACTTGTTAGCAAATTGATTTAGCTGTCCAATCTTTTGATTGGACCATAAGCAGGAACCAAACTTTTCGTCGATACTGAACGTAATTGCAATGGAAAGAATCGTTTTCGATTTCAATGTGCCTATTTGGTGGGCTCAGAAGAATTTGGTGTTAATGGACAAAATGAAGAAACTAAATAAAGGTAAAATAATTGACCTATAATTGAGTCTTTTGATAACCTTTGAATTCTCTTCTATCGATGCTTGTGATCCTTGATCTGATGTATTGACTTTTGCCATGATTTTTACTCTCTTTTTCACTCCAAACACTGATCTTATGCTAAATGTATATTTGGAATCTTGTAGTTGTTACCATACGTTGGCCTTAATTTTTATCTCTTACCTTGTATTCTTGTTGGCAGCTTTATGAAGATGATGTATGCATCTGTATTTTGGACTCTAACCCATTGATTTTGGGGTAAAGTATCTCCACTGCTCTATGATTATGTTTTCTTAAAGTGCAAAGATGATTTTTAGAACTCAAACAGCCATTGCTATGACAATGCACTGAAACCATAAATTTTTTAAATGATAAAATATTGTAGAGGTATTGTGGGCATTTCATCAGTTTTTATTTGGGTTTTGAACACTTAGGCAAAGTTACATTTTTATTTTCATGAATCTTTCCATAAATATGTTGTTTTATACGATATTTTCTTTACCTGATCATGAGTATGAAGTAAAAAAATGGGTGGCAACCATTGATTTGTGCCGGTTAGCCTGATCAGACTCATCTATACCAATTTTCGTGCTCAACAGTCAGTTCATAGTTAAGGTTGGTTGATTTTATAGACAAATCCAGGTAAGACGTCCATATGGGCCAATTTCTTTTATTCTACAGTTAGCATCGATCCAGACTTGAGCATCAAACCTATCTAAGCCAACTTGTTTCAAAAATAACATGATCATCTTATGCTAAGCTTGCCAACTTGGACAACATGATGATCTATTTGAAGTTTTGGGTTAGTCTTAGTCGTGCTTTGCCTGACTTGAACATAATTCAATCCAGCCTGGTCACCAGCTTTTTTGTCATGTTATACTATTGATTAGCTTTTTGTAGAATTATGCACCTAGATTCTTGAGGTTAATGTTTCTCAAGCAATGGTTGTTGTGAAAACATTTTGGCGAAAGTAAATCCCTCCCAAGCTCATTTTTGTTGACTAACTCAGAGGCAACCTATCAAACTGGATAGGGCAGTTTGAAGGCATCAATTTTAAGCCATACATTTAACGTAGCGCTAGGCTGGTTTCAGAACAAAGGTCAAGTACAAGTTCCATATATACTTAGGATTAACCAGATCTAACTTGATCTGCTGACGATATAAGAAGAGGGTAATTAGTCTTGTTTAGACATGTTACTCTATCTCCATCCGACCAAATTGTTGTAAAGTTTGGGTGTCTCGGTTTGGGTTAAATATTTGACATGTTAGTGGCACTGATCAGTGGCCAATCTTACTAGCATATGAAACCTGATCAATGTGTTGCCAACCCTATGTTTAGTGAACTGTGACCTTTTTCTTTTCTTTGATGGTAGTAACTGAATATGAATTGCTTAATAGAAGATGAAACTTGAAATTGCTTGTAGTTGGTAGACTACGAATTTCAAATATTTAAAAATGGGATCATACGATTGCCTATGTTTTACTCTTTATGCCTTAGTTATTTTCTAGTTTTTATGAGTTGTGATGTTCAATTTCGTTTGGTCTTTTCTTGTATAGGCACTCGCTTATCATCCCAAAGTCACATTTTCCTTCACTGGAAGCGACTCCACCTCCTGTGAGTTCTCTGTATCTTTCTTTGTGTAAACTTGTAATGTTGATTTTTGAAGTCTGTTTAGGTGATAACTTTTACTATCTGTATTACTAGCCTTTCATCTGCAAAATGTGAAGAGAGGCTCCTCAATAAATTTTATTGGGACACCTTCGATCCTGGACTAACAGAATCTCTGTTCTTTTGATTTATTTGTCTGTCTGATCCCACCATGGGGCACTGCTAAATCTTTTTTTCTTTTTTGTTTCCTGTTTATCAAATTAGAACATATAAACTGAGGAAATCTCTGGGGATTGTATGTTTTTCATTTCTTCTGATGGTCTGTCAGACCGATTTTCATAATAGATGGATGTTGCAAATTTCTCTTTCTGCAATCTGCTTGAGGAGCATTACTGATTATGGTGTTCATTTGGAGTGGATCTTTTAAAGCCGTCTATCTAGATGCACATGCATACGTATTAAATATGAATCAATAGATGCAGTAAAACAAAGGTTCATATATTGTTTGATATCCCTTGATCATGCTAGTCAAAATGTTCCGTCTCTTTTCTTTATTAATTCTCAGGATCTTTATCATATGGGGAAGCTAAGAAATATTGCTAGCTGCCACAGGTTCGGTCCTTAATGCATTTGCCATGGCAATTGGAAATGCATAGACCTTGGAGATGAAATAAAGAAACATTTTCTAATGCTTAACCAGCTTTTGTATCGTAGAAAAGCCAGTTTTATACTCCTTCAAACATCAAAATTCCCCTAATTATTGAACTAATGTCATATTCCAGTAGTGTCCAACTTTGATTGATTTATATCACTCTGGTTGATTTATCATCTAAAATTTGTGCTAAGAAATTGCCTACATATGTAAAACATGCTTTAAGTGAAAAAAAACTTGTGACAAGGGATGGATGACTTCATTGCTTCTGTTCTATATTCGATACCTCCGTTTGAAGACTTCTCCGGCTGAGCTTTACTAGGATGAAAGCTGTCATGATATATATACCATTACAAGGACTTCTATCCTCCTTACAAATAATATGTACTCCTCCTCTATCCTACTCATTTTCTAACATCCAATTGTACATGTCTTTTTGATTGAAACAACTTACAAATTCATCACTTAAAATAAAATGAGAAGGATATTTGACTGCCTTATTTTTACATGTTTTTGATTCAGGTGGTAGCAGCCATGTGTTCCAAGATACCATTTCTCAGCAGTTGTATAATGAAAGCTACTCAATGTGGTAGGTGGAACATGTTCAAGAATTCTCTTGATTAACTATTTAATAATCTTCTTTCCTTATATCTAATAAAACTTTTGTTTTATCAGTGGTTTAATTGCATCTTGCTTCTCATGGAACCATTGTCGTCTTTCATCTTATCACTTATTCTGTTGGAGAACTCCTTTTACAAACTTGTTAGCCCGCCTTTGCCACATCGACCACTGCATGCCAAACATTGTTTTATTTCATCATGGTTTAGAAATTTAAAACTAATGTCTAAGAGAATACATGATTTTTCTAGATGGTCTACACACATTATTGTCTTTGTTTCATCCTTACTTTTGAGTGTTATTTTATAAGCAATCTTGCTGGTAGTAATTCTTGTCAACAAACACTTCCACTTCTTTTCTGGATGAAGCTTTCCGTGCTTATTGGGTCTTAAAGCGGGTAGTAAAATTTTTTTTTTTTTTCATCTTTGATATCTCTGTAATAATGCTTTGATTTATTGCATTGAGTATTAATTAAATCCTTCATATTATCACTTATAATATGTGCTTTTCTTTCAAATCACAAATTGTCTCACATCATGATTCTTACATCCGGGAGGGAGCTTGCATGGAAATTTGTCCACTTCAAGTGGGTGGTTCTACCCATGCTTTAATGTCCTGGGCAGTCTCCATTACTCAAGACTCCAAAACCTGGCACCATGTAACAAATGCCCTACCAATCCCTCCTCTACCTTTTAGTTTCTTCTTTGTAGTATGATAGTACGTGTTTTTGCATCCTTTAGGGACTCTATTCTTTCTAATGTTCCTTTGCATGAACTTAAACTTATAATTAGAAACCAATGTCATCAACCGCGACCATCGACCCACTGAAGGATGAGTTGGCTGAGTCTGATCCTCATTTAAGCTATTTGCTTCTGGGAAAATCAAATCAAATGTCAAAAAATGGATAAAGAAGCCTTTTTGAGTACCTCTTTCTTATCATCATGTTTAAGTGGTTGATTACATCTGATTGATTTGCTTGCTAAGCAGATTCATTCAATTTATTGGTCAACAATGGATCAGCGGCAGGGCAAGTAATATTTCATGTTAGTGCTCAACAGATGGTCTCAGTTTGTAAATGGCGGCTGTGTATTTACCTGATTCCATTTAACCTTCATCTACTGCAGACTCATCTTCACATAATTCCTCGAAAAGCCGGAGACGAACTATGGCGTTCTGAGGTGAGACAACCGGTAAACTCTTCTCATCCTGCCCACCTTAATCCACTTACTTTTACAGACTTATGACATGCAGAGTTGTAGAAGGCACCCCATCGAATCAAACCAGGAAATCGACCATCTCGTGAATTCAATCAGGCATCTGGTTTCTTCTTCTTCTTCCCAGCAATAGCTGCCGATCTAATACACGGATCGTCCCAAAGAATCTGCAAGATTAGGGATCCCAACTTGGTATACTATTTGCTCAGAACTTTGTATATTTATGAATATGCTATTATTATCGTCTATTTAAATCGGTTTATCGCACTAATCATAATTCTGAAGTCTGTAACAGTTAGCCTCAGATTCTGACATTTTATGAGCTCTTCATTTGCTTTCCTTTTTCTGTAGTGAAAACCCACGGAAGAGCCATTAAAAAAATCTGTGCAATCATAATAAAATAAGTATAATTATGACAGAAGATTAGATGCTTGGGAGGTCCTCCAGCATGGGATGGTAGATAAAGAAGAGTGTTTCCAAACAAGCATTTGAACACGGAGTTGATTTCATTACCATCACAGTGCCTCCAATACACTCCCTTCCCATCCTCCAATGAAGGTTGCTCGGAGTCTGCAAGCGGTCGACGGCATCGAGCTCGCGAGAAGGCGCTTCTTCTTACGGCGGCGGCGGCGGCGGCGGGGTGCAGGCACTTGCAGTCGACGCAGACTCAGGCCACCATGTTCTCCCTCCCTCAAACTGTGCTACTCCTTTGAGCTCCTCAGGTGGTCTGCTCCAACTCTTCTCCATCGTCTTCATATTTCCTGAGGAATCAGAGATGTTGACGCGTAATGATAGGCACTGATCGCAATCTAATGGCAGGGCATCACCATCGAGCTGTATGTAGGTCAACGCTGCAAGTCCTGGTTCGATGACCAGGCGTTCGTGCTCTCGCTTAAGATCCATGGAGGCGGGCCAAGTGGAAGCTCGGTAACGCCGCCCACCTTCTCCCCTTCCCTTCCTCTCCATGGACTCTCTTCCTTGACCTGTGTGTACACGGCCGGAGCTTCTCCGACGCTCCTTAAACTGATTTGGCCTCGTCCAACCCCAACTAAAAGGTTGGGAGTGCAGCGACGCCTTTAAATGCCTCCACGAACGATACCAGTGGGGTTGGGATCGTCTCCGAGTGCTGCACAGTCATCGGGCTGCGCCTCTAGAAATCCCAAGCCCAGGTACGTGGCAATGGATGGTCTTGATGTGGGGATCGGACGGCTCCAACCAGAAGCATGGTTGGAGCGGAGCGGATCCTAACCGCACATCATCCTTGCCGTACACCTCTAAGAAAAATATACACCACCACTACATAAGAAGTGCAAACTTAATATTCGCTATTAGAGTATACAAAAGTTCTGAGCAAACAGTGTTTGAAAAAAAAAAAGTCTAAACAAATAATAAAGAATTAAATTATATGAAAATATTTAAGAGGAAATATATCTAAAGAACATATAATAATATATTCTTTCAAGAAAAATATTGGGGTGTCTTAAGTTTCACTATTTATCATTTGGGAGCGTGGATGACACATTCATCCTCGTACAGCTACACCATTGACTCCCATGAACTCGTTCGAGTGGGTGAGCATTCACGAGCAGTTGGTGCCCAACAAGACAACAGCCTGTAGTGTCATGTGACTTCTACAGCTCACCAGCAGCAACCACTACAATAAATTAAGGTCATTTAATGTTTGAGGTCATAACCACTGTGAGTTTAATGTTGCAGTACATATCAGTGAGTCAAGGTGATCGATATTTGACTCGATGACTTGGCCACAGAGATAGATCTTGACATTGTTATGTAACAATGTCTTGCCACCCACGAAGGCATCACGGACAAATCATGAAACTTTAGATCGATGTGTTTTGCTGTGTGTTTTCTGGATTGATATTTGATACATTATATATCTTCCTAAATGTTAGGCATTTAAGATCACAGTTACGTTTGCATGTTTGCTGTCACCTACCTACAGAAGATGAGCCTCGGGACTTGGCATTGAAGCTTTTCTGTAGAGTCTACGAGGTTTGATTGCAACAAAGGGGATCTCAGGTTCAATGGAGTATGGAACTGTTTCCTCTCTTTTCGAATCAACTCTCTTGGTATTCTTGATTTGGAATCCTTAATGTATGTATGTAATTTAATTTTGATTTGGCTCGTTTTGTGCAGATTGAATTTGATCGGGTGTGGCATTGGGCGATTATGAGAGCCTTCCTGCTGCAAACGCTCAGGCATTTCCAGATGCTAATGCTATCCTTTCTTCCTCAAACAGATAAGAAGAGACAGGACTTCTGCTCATGCCAAATATCATCGACATCTTCGCTTCATCAAATCACTGATACAAGCAAGTTCCCCAGGTAGGAGAATGGAACAGACAGACATGAACACAAAGTATTTAGGAAAGCTTTTTAATTTAAAGCACGCATCTCATCCATCTTTGCATGGCTGCGCTGTAGGTCTTCCTGATCTGCCTACCGAGAAATCTTTGCAGTCCAAAGAAGACCATCATCACATCCATCCATTGACAGGTTGGTAGCACCTTTCAATTCGGCAAAAAAAGTTCATCAGTCTTCACATAGAACTAACTAACTCTTAGTGGATCTAAATAAATATGCACAAAGCACATTATGTTTTAGATGAAGTTGAGCTCTATTGATCTGATATGTAGTACCTTCTTCCACCGCACCCATTCTCCCTCTGGCTGTTGAAGAACATGGCAGCAACAGGATCCCCGAGGTTGTAGACTGCTGCAAAGTCTCTTGTGCTGAAGTTTTGCCTCCATCCCGGTGCATAGATTGTTTGCCGGACGGATTGCCGGAACAGCACAAACACAAAGCGATGGATTCCAGAGATGGGTCGGGGACTCTCATAGGTGACTATCTCGTTCCCTGAAACATACAATTACATTTTTTTTTTTACTAGTAAAGAAATATAAATATCATTCCTTCTAAGAACTTAAGCTAATAGACGAGGCATAATTTTAATTTATTTTTTAACATTTTTCCCCTACTTATATGTGGTAGACGAATCAAACTCGAAACATCAAATTAATGGATTTTCTTTTTCAAGTGTGATTTGGACAAGATCCGAACACAAAATCTTTCGCTTTTGTGTTCGATGATAATAGATTGAGGCATGATGTTAGTAGAATATTACCCTCTTATTTGGATTTATTTTTCTTGATCCATGTCCTTCAACTATATGTTTGCTAGTCTATCTCAAGCATGGAGGACATGAAACATAAAAAGGAATAAATGCCATTATAGTGAGCAATGTGTTCTAACTCACCATAACTGGCATTTGTTGTTTCTGGGATGTCTGTCACCAACCTACCACAAGACAGAACAATTAGCAGTTAATTTATGAGGAAAAGATATATATATATATATATAAAACTTTTAGGCTGCATGTAATTGTAGCAAGCTCATCTTACCAATGCAGATACTCTCTCTTGGTTGGAGTGCTGGGGCTTGGTGCATCAGGGTCCACCATCACCTGATCACATACCCCCATCATGGTTAGCTCAGGCATTAAGAGGGCTACTTAGTCAGATGCAACTGAAAGATGATCAAACACGACAAAAGCATTAAGAAGTCGGTGCTGTATTCCTATTCTTATGATTAGATCAGTGCTGTATTCCTATTCTTATGATTAGATCAGTAGTAGTTGTTTGGAATACTTTCTTGCCATTGGTTGGAAAAGAAGACTTTCTTGCCATTGGATGATCATGGCAATCACGGTAGGTGTTTCCTAGAACCAAAGGATCCTTCTCCTAACTCATTCTGGCATCTCTGCTCGTCTAGTGTGAGCAGGCTGAGGATGCGGAGAAGATGTGTGCTGGTGAACAGGACAAGAAAGTCAATCATTCTTGTCATTCCAAAGTCAGCAGAAAAAAAAGCTTGAACAGTGATCTCAAACCCCAACGAGGATTCTGTGACTGCTGTCCTGGTTTCTACCTCCAGTCCAAAAACCACTTTGCATCTTTACCCTGAGTTAGGGTGGACTTTTGGCTAATCCCAACTCTCTCAAATGGGATTGGATTTCTCAAGACATTTCACTGTTGATGGTGATGGCGATTGAACTTGACTAATAAAGTCAAAGTAACTTATTATTATTACATAAGTGATAGATTTAAATTTCGAATATATGCAACAGTATTATATCATAGATAAATTAATATAATGCTTTCGATCAACGGACACTTACAAGCGTGTAAAGCGTCCTCATGTCACGTCCTCTGATCTCGACCCTGGGCTCGTCGGCGATCGTCGAAGGTTTGAGCTCGGACCCATTGATCAGCTCCTTGTTGTTGTAAGTCACCTTCAAGTTTGCGGACTTGACGAATGGGTCCAGGATGTCACCGACGACATTGCCGATGACTAGCGGATCCCTCGACATGATCAAACAACACAGAGAAAAAGGAGACCTGCAACCGAGTTTACAAGACGAAAGTGTTGGATACGGTGGCTCGTTTGCAATGGCAGGGGAGGGGAGAGGTCGATGCATTTTTATAGAGCAGGAGCCCGATGGGAATCCGGTCTTGCTCGAATCAAAGGAGGTTTAAACTATGTTGTGATACGAATAAAACGCGTCGAGAGGCTCCACCATTTGGGCCTCCACAGGGACAGTGGGCGATTGGCATGACACCATGGCGAATCAAATCGTCTGCTGGAATTGTTCGCATGATCTGGATCCTCTGGGAGGAGTGATAGGGTACATGGGAGGGAGGGGAAGAAAAAGTGGGCTGCCTTTTGACCTGCCTCCTGCAAGTGTCACCCGGAGATGTTGTGCCCCGTGCTGGAATAAGAGGAGTTGTAAGCCCCTGGGGCGAGGAAGAACATGGTGGTGGCTTTTTGGCTTTTGATGGCTTCTCTGGCCCCCCCAGCCACCCCAAAACCACCCACCGTAGTATCATGGCAGATGACTTGGGTTCGGGCATGTCACTCCACTACATCCCTCGCTCCCTGTTTTCTCATAGGGGTTGGGGGCATATTGGACGTGGTGGATAGGAGGGAGAATCCAAGTGTTTGTGTGGATTGTCTAATGATGTCAGCAGTGGAAAAATGGGTCAAGATGCTCTGCTTTTTAGCATTCTCTCTACCATTGGCCCTCTTGCGTCCGTCGTCCGGTAAGTCCACGTAAGGTTGTCGTTCTCCAGATTTGAGTTCCTTGCTTTTGATTGATCTAAGCGATCCATATACATATAGATATCAATATAGGTTTTGGGGAGAGTGTCAATACACTCAAGTAAGCTCTAAAGATATAGAAAGGTGTTCGACACCTATAAGGTGATAACCTTATCATTGTATCAACATCTGTTCTCTACTCGAGAACAAACACTACGGTATGATAAAGGATGGAGTCTGTTGTTCTTCGAATGAGAACATACGAGAAGAGACGACTTTCTGGCTTCGGTCCCACTTGCGATGTGGATTTAGGTTGGATTCTCCTGTTGTATTAAAATTAGATTGTGCAGTGGTGGTAAAGGATCGAAGCCTAGATTCCTTCTAGGATCCACTCCTACTCACCAAATATATTCCCCAATGATTCATCTCAATCTAAGATGAGTTATATTTGGGTGAGGAATGACTTGTGTCAGTGGACAAAGCAACCAAGACATGGACTAAAGCTCATTGGACCTATACACTACTTTTACTTGCGCAGGAGGATATAGCAGTTTGCTCACACGTGGCAAGACTGCTTCGAATCTAATCTTTCTTATTATCCTCTTACCCTCTGTATATGCACAAACAGAAATCACCAAATCGATTAGATCAGTAAAATGATGAATAGATGAGATCGAGATGGACCAGAAGATTTCCTGCTGAGACGAACAAGATATGGTTGTCCAAAGTTCAAAGGAAGGACTTGGAAGTCTTGTCACACCTAGAAACCAGACACGTCAAAGATGCAAGCGTATGCTTAGTTTTATGTCAGTGGACCTTCACCGAACGCCATGATGCACGTATGATTGGATCAAAAGGTGTCAAATGGACACGGGCAGAGGAAGAGCATCCATCACCTGCTTTCCATGGGTCCTTAAAGAAACAAGCATGGTGATGGAGAATAAAGGAGGAGGTGACTTGAAGGATTTAAATAAATGGTGATTGCATGGGCATCGGCCATCGGGCAAAGGTGAAGGGATATGACAACAGTCACAAAGATGTAAAAGCCTTGAGCAGCGGAGAAGAAGAATCTTACTGATTTGTTCTATCTACCTTTCTTCGAGGTCAGATGCAGTTGATCAGAATAGTTTCCTCGGTGACTTCCTGCATCAAGGCTCATGGTTAGTGCCACAAAGATGTAAAAGGATGAGGAGCAGCAGACTGAGAGAGTGAAAATTAATGAGGAGCTGCGAATGAAACATGAAATCTAATAGGAATATCCCCAAGGTGATGTGCTGCGGCAGCTTTTTATTGGACTTGATGATAGACTGACTAATACACCAATATCCAGAGAGGGATTCATATGATGGAGCACAAGGTTCCCTGATGCTTCTGGGACTGCATATATTGACAAAAAGTGAACAATATATTCTTGAAGAACATTATGTGACCAAAAGCATACAGAAAGCACCTCCATTACACCCCCCCATTTATACGTCAGATATGGATTCTGCAAATAAAAGCTTACCAGCTTAAAGAAGTGGAAGCATGCATACATAGTGGATGCGCAAATGTGGGGGTTGGCACTGTTCAACTGTAAGAATAGATGTCACTTGATTCATGTCAAGAAAAACTATTTTAATTATAATTATTTAAATGATAAGGATAATACTGGATATTTTTGCAACATGTTAATTTGAAAACTACATAGGCCTACCAAAATGGATACACCAAGGTTCATCTAGAGAGTATGATCACATTTTAGAAGGAAACTACATTTGCCCTTACTTTGTAGTTGACATTCTAAAGAACAATAGAGATGATGCATAGTTTCTCAGGATGAACAAGAAGAATTCTAGGAAAAGTTTACAAGGGGATTAATCTGTACTGGATGTTAAAAAGGGGATTTTAACAAACTTGTATGTGCCTCAAAAATAAACATCTCTGGTGGCAGCACCTGTAAAGGATTTGTTAGACTTGTGTACCTCGAAAAGCTCTAATCAAAACATCTTCAGCTTCTCAGAATGCACTCCCCAATTGCTGCTGCTCAGATCATATTCCTTAAGTTTGATAATTCCAGAGAGCAGCGTTCCATTAGTACAGATTCATGATATTATAGTTTCATATTCCCAACATGTTATATATTATCTAAAAAACATGTAACGAGATCAGTCAATCAAACAAGATAGCTTAAAAATAAGCTTAAAAAATTTAGCAAAACCAATAGAGATTAGGAAAAAAAAAAAGACGGGTGAAAGAAAAAGAATTAAAAAATCAAACTTTTGGCAAAATCTGATGAGATGGCTCACCTGGAGGAAGTACATTGCAGGCAAAGACCTCAAACTACTTGGCTAAAGCAGGAGACAAAAATATAGAATAATTTCATGCTATAGCAAATAGGAGAACATAGAAAACGCAGTGTCTAGAATTTTGAGTAGAAAGATTGACCTAAAATCTAATATAGAAGTTGTGAACGTTTATGGGGACCATTGTAAGAAACTTCTTTTCAAATATCTAAGACAATGCAAGTTTAGTTCATTTTGCAACATGTATCAAGTTGACAAGCTTTCAGTACAAAATAAATTCACTGGACAATAGAATGTTTTCTCATTTATGGCAAATATAAAACGATCACAATCATAGTTTGCTACCTTGGAGCAATAAACCAATATTTCACATCAAATTAAGCTTATGAAACAGCCCTGGCTTCTAGTTTCCGTCGAAGATTTTGTTCGTCGTGGAACACCAGAAAAAAAGATGTAAAAGTCATCTAAAACCCCTTGTTTTGGCTAGCAAAAAACATGACATATGTTTCTGTGTAAAAGGATTTATTAACCAATTAAAAGAATAGGAAAATATCATTTTACATGAATAAAGATGAAGACAACAGGTATCAGAATGCCTAATAGCCAAATGTAATATAGAAAGACAAGACAAAAGAAATTATAATAAATGGTATCAAAGTCCATTTCTTGAATTACACCACCAGCGGATGTTTGGATACACCATCTCAATTTTTTCCGTTTCATTCTTCTGTACTTTTAAGCTACGACTGCGACCTTTTACTCGTCTGGAGCTCGCCCAGCCAAAACAAAATTTGTTTCTGGCTTTTCACTTTTCTGAAAATTGTTATACCCAGATAGTGTTTCAACTGTATGCTGTCAATAAGAAGACTTGTCCAGCTATACCTGTTGTACAAATCCATTGTCAAGTAAGTATGCAGCAACTGTGAGCAGCTTCAAGATTGTCTAAGTATTAACGATATTTTTTTACAGGAGAATCCAAGAAAAAACAATAGAACAGCAGACAATTTTAATTGCCAAGTTATAATTAAGATGGAGTATTGGATGAAATTTATCGCTATGGTATCTTTCTCTATAAAAGGACAAATTTATTAACAAAAAACTTTTCAAGTTAACAAAATTCAAATGAAGAAGGGTTAATTAACCTGAGCTAAAAGAGCAGAAACTTGCTGCAAACCTTTCCAGCTGTTTGCTCCAGAGAACTCATTATGTTCAATGTGAATAAGTTGTTTCCTAGTCTTCAGAACTAGAACCATCCACTTTATCCATGAACATTCTAAATCTAACTGTTAAGTGTCTGATCTGTTAGCCATCAACTAGCAACAGATTCAGCCTAAAGCCTAGGCAGTAGTCCAAGTCCCAGGCACTAGGATAAACCCAACGCAATGCCTTCTCATTTCTTTTGAGTAACCTAACACATATGATTGTCAAGCATGCATTGACACTCAATAGTGGAATATGGATATCTAAAAGTGCTTTTCAGACATCGTGTTTGTAAATGAACTAATCTTACCAGACATATATTGTCATAACCCAGAAGATAAGATATATTGTAAATGAACTAATCTCACAAGACAAATATTGTCAGAACCCAGAAGATAATATATCTGGATCCACAAGTATGAATATGTAAGGTCTTACAAACACATGCACTCTCAGATTATTTTGCTACCTAGTCACAAGCTCACAAGTCCAAACAACTGGCTATACCAACAATAATCTTACCCAAACAGGAATAATCTACTTGTAAAGTTGCATCAAAATTTCAATGTGCCTCATCACTAAATTCATGCTCATTTTCTATGGTGATGAAACCTATTGCTTTCCTTGCTAAAAAAACGATTGCTTTCCTGGTGAAACATGAAACACATACGAGCAACCACTTCTTGCAGAAAAATTATGAAAAAAACATTATATTGTGGCCCATTAGACTCGTTTGTAGAACATAATCATTAACTTCTCATCCTAACATTCTCCTTTCATTTTCAAGAAAACATGATTCTGACCTTTAGAGAAATCTTTGATAGCGTATGACAAAGAGAAGTTCTTAGTAAGATATGATGAATAAGTTGCATCTAGTTTATATCTATTCTTAAACAAAATACTTTGATTTTCCTTATCGCATTCAAATGCATCTTAGATTTGATTGGAAACATCTTAGCTATCAGATAATGCACTAAATTAAAAGTTTACAAGGATTGGAGTGATACCTCAAACTTAAATTAAATGGGCAAAAGTGGTTGTCTCTCATCATGTCCAATGTGGTGGCTGGCCTGAAAGAAAGTGATTATCATGTGTAAGGATATGCTGATACCTAATAAACAAACAGTTGGGCTGTACAATTATCTTACATCTTCAGCAGCACCAGCAGTCATGTTTAAGAAAGAAGCTTCCTTTGACCTGAAAACAGAGCAAGCATACTAGTGAATGAACTTATAGTAATTTAGAAGATGTGCATTCAATATCTAAGATTTCTTTATTAAAAAGCAATTAAGAATGTAAGGTTGATTCTTCAGACTCCAAAGGAAGATATTTCTAAAAATAACTTATTGGTTAGACCAACTTGTTAATAAAATACATTAAGACCATTTCGGAATAGGGCATCCCTTGACCCACTCCCCAAAAAATCACATATTCACACCCCAAGAAGAAATAATAATAATATTTATTATTATTAAATAACAGTCAATGGAATCCTACTTAAATGGCACTGTTGTTGACAAGATACATTCGAAAAAGAAAAAATTGAATGATCAAATAAATGAAATGGCATACCTGGGATGTTCAGTTTCCATCATTTCTAATTTTCCAACTGGTGTCTCATCTTTGACTTTGGCAATGGGAGAGAAGAACTAATATAAAAATATCAAGGTTATTGAAGAAATGAAAGGCTCTAATAAATTTAAGAACTTAAGTTTGGCAAATACCTGGTGCATAGATACAAAGACTATGGAAATCCCCAAGATAAAGTTCATGGTCAATGTATGACCAAATAATGCAGCGGAAGCGATGCCGGTAAAAATTGTCGCAACAGTAGATGAATACTTCTTCAAGATTGTGTCTGTAAGTATCAAAATTAGTATTCTGACTAATAACAGAAAAAAATGCCCTAATATTGTAAAAGTGAACTAAAGGTGCCTAGCAGTGGGTAACAACAAACAAACACACAGAAACAATTTCAATTTACCAACATTTAGAAAATTTTACCAGCATATTTAAAAAAGAATGATGAAAGTATGCCCTGTGCTGCATTGTTGCATATCAGAAACATTGTTGCCTTCGAGTGGCCTTCAAGGATATTGAAGCTCCTAGGCCCTGTAAAAGTTTTAGAATGTGAAACGAAAGAATGATTCATATATCTAGCACAACACATCAACAACAACAACAACAATAACATCAACAACAATGACAACAGAGCCATAATTCTCAATAATTTGTGGTCGACTACAGGAATATTTTATTGTTATTGAGATTTGTAAAAAACCATATATTTAGTTAAGTTCGGAGTACTTACATATTTATTTATAGTTTCTATTAAAACATTTTTAGATCCTCCTTCATCTTTTCTCGTACCACTAACATTAATTATTTAACCTCTTCTGACTACCACATCCGAAGGTCTCGTAAGCATATGCCCGTATCATCTTAAACGATTTTTCCTCGTCTAATCCTCTATCGAAGTGATATCTAGTTGTTTATAAATAAAAATATTTTTTTTCCTATCTTTCCTAGTAACTCTACAACACATCAGAAGCATATATTGTTATAAACAATTACCCAAACATGTACCATTGAATGAGCTTACATTGCAACCAGTAAAGATCTATGCAGCAACTACAGTAGGTCTTTAAAGGTGCCCATTTCTGTTTGACACAATCTTTAAGTGGTCTATTGCCAAGTTGACAACTAGGTAAAGCAATAACCCATGAAGCCTTCTTAATTCGTATTCTGTAGCTATATTTATATAAATAAAACCACATTAATGAGCTAGGATTCCTATGAAATAGCAGCCTTCACATGTTTTGCGTTAGAAAAAACATGTTTTGCGTTAGAAAAAACATGTTTTATGCTACCATGTACTGAGGATATTGAGCATCAGGACTAAAATACCTTCCACACAAGATCAGTGTTTAGATACACTTATTTGCTATTCCTAGTAGATCCACTATTCGGTTACCAAAATTCTTTAAGAGAGATTCCTTTTTCACTTAAAAGATTGATGATTGGTATAGCACAGTGCCAAAAAATTCCTAGCCAAGTTCTTCAATTCTCACATAGTTTTTATTCAAAAATATATCATAAAAATATCATGGACTTTCAATCCCAATAATGTATAATTTCTTTTCAAGTTCCATCAATCTTCCTACCGTAGTCTTGAATGTTGCCATTTCTTTATAAGCATGGCAGGCCAGAGGTTCTGTTACTTCTGATTGGCTCATTAAAAGCATATGAAGACAGGAGTAGTTCAGGTTCCAGAGAAATGCCATGTTGTCCAAGATGCAATACAATAAAGCAAAAGTTTTTAACAATTAAAACCACAAGAACATAAACTTTGCCCTTCTGATCATATACAGGAATATTTTTCACCAGAAACATGTGTACCACAAACCAAAATAATGTCATCACAAAATGATCCACTCAGAAAATGTAAAGGACTGGTCACCAACAACATAGAAAATGTGTGGCACCAACATGTTTTGCATACAGGAGTCAAGATGACACACCTTGGAAAATGGCAGTTCCTAGAATACCCAAAAAGTTGAATATTGCACCGTAACCATACAAAAATAAGTTCTGCAAAAGTGTAATAGAAAATTGTGTCATGCATTGAAAAAATGACTTAGCAGCATTAAATCATGGAGTAAAATTTTAAGGAGAAAATACACTAAATTAATAACATTATCCTCCTCCAGCTATTCATCTATTGAAAATTTATTCAGCAAGACTACATTCTGTCATAAAGAGTCACCTGAAGATAGATGCTTGTCTCAAACTGGCTTTTCAAAGCATATTCATTATAGACAGAGGCCATTGATGGAACAGTAACCTGCAATTTCAGGATATCATGTGAGAACTTAAAGCGGAACTTAATTATATAAACTATACAATTAGTAAACTCTGTACAACTAAGGTTATGTGTGTGTGTTTATGTAAATATATATATATATATATATAAGGTCACATTTATATCACTTGGACTCTAGAAGAAAGGTAATCTAATAATACTGATACTCAACATCTCAACCCTTCATGAATTTGTCAATTATTTTATACTCAAAAGCCTCTCCTACAAAGAGAATAGTTTGATAAACCAAAATTAACATGTCATGCTGAATCAAATCTAAAATGTCATATATTTAGATATTCAATCAGAAGTTTGAAATTCCAGCAGGTAAAGGAGTTAATAACTTCGTTACATTCTGGGATCTTTTGGTAAGACAAGGTTACAATTGGAGTTTGGGGATGTTTGTTTCATGATAACAGAAAATTTGGAGTAAATCCAACTTATTACAATTCCATTCTCAAGTTTGATAATTATGTATAAAAAAAGATGTAGAAGAATCACAAATAGAACATAACTAAAGTGCTCTGATCAAAATTCACAGATTCTAACTAGAGAAAGCAAGCAAAATCTTGTAGAAAGCAAAAGTGATAGAAATATCAAAGATAAAAGTGATAAAACTTACAAAAATTAGTGTATATACATAAGCAACCATTGTAATTGGAAGAACCAATGCAGTTGAACTCTCAGGCGATGATTGAAGCTGATTTATGCTTACCCCAATTAGCAAGAGCGCAAGAGCCTCCCACTGCCCATGACAAAAAAGAATAAAGAAAAAAATATGCAGGCCAAGATCAAAACATTATGATTAGGAATAAGAAATCACAAAGGGTCAGTAAGAAGCTATATTATTCAGGTATGCCCTCACAGAAGATCATCTCATATCAAGCACTTCAGGACTAGCATATCATAGTTTGTATCTAACAACAGCAGCAGACTTCTCTTGGCTCATCCATAAAAGTACATCATGCATGTGAATCATTACCCATTTAATAGTCCAAACTGACCTGAATTATAGAAAAACGCCTTCTCATTATAATCTTTAGAAGAACAGCAATCACCAAAACCTACAAGAGTTTGCATAAATGCAGGTCAATGCCAATAATGAGATTAAATAAATTCAGTTTTTAGCATCTTGTATGAACAAGCCAAGAAAATGATGGAATAGAACAGAATACATCAGCAAATGATTAAAGAACAAATCCTTGAAAAAATCTAGATTTGGTAACCAGGAGAACAAATAAGATGGATTGGTTATTCAGAATTGTTTTTGACTGAATAATAGAAAGGCAGCTGGGAAATATGCTTTGCATGTTCTTCCACATGGAAAAGAAAACACAGTAATATATTATTCTGCTATACAATGTGCTTAATGTTAATAAACCAAAACCTGAAGAACTACATGACATAATATGTGTATCCAAGTGACTCCATTTACATCACAAAGAAAGCTAAATGTGTCAATTATATGGTACACCTGCTGGTTTCACCAACGAAAATCTATACACCAACTAGAGAAATTATGCATAACCATGTCTAGCAAAAATAAGAGACTCCATGAGCATATTTGTTATTCCGTCTATTTAACCATAGCACAGACATCACCACGTAATTATTATTCCAGCAAATAATGTTTCTTAAAATAAACTACATGCAAATGAATGGTTTAAAAGCTAAATGTGATGAATTAACATTTATATAAAGCAATACCTTCAGATTGCTCAACATCTTCACAGTTGCAGGATTAAAATATAACTGCAGAGAGAGGGAAACCAATAAGTAGAGAACATAAGCAATATCAAGTACCCGAATGTACCAATAGCTAAAAGCAAACAAATGTAAATGTAAGTTACAAGTTTTTCAAAATATATGAAGCTGGACACAAACCTGCATGATAAACTTTAAGTAGTTATTGATTGCATATAGAAGAGCAGGAATGGCTAGAAGGACATTATTCCGAGCAGCCTGCAACATGTTGGAATAACCTCCATATCATATCATAGCATGAACACTAAATCAAATTTCCTGATAGCTCTATCAATTATTCGGTTGTAAAGATGAAGCAAGCCATAGTAGAAATTGAATTACAAATGATCCAGTTGGTACTACCAACCATGACCCTAAACCACATAATTTTTATAATTTGCAGAAAAAACAATCAAGAAAAGCAACATCAACCTTTCCCACATTTTTCTTACCCTTGGTGCTGAAAATAATGCACAAACAATGAAGGATCTAAATTTAATTCAGATGAATCTTATTTCATTACAATTTCTTTATGCACATAAATTTGATTAATTCGAAAAAAACACAACTTTAATGTTTTTTATTATTCTTGTATAAAAATTTACAAAATAAAAGATCAACTCTCAGATCAACCAAATATTGACCAGAGAATGGATCCAAAATTATGGAAATGGACATTTGTGTGTAGAAGTTTGCAAAAAAGATCAGTTGTTCTTTGTAATTCTGAATGGATTTCATTGTCTGATTTAAAACAAAGATCTCCCGACAAGGCCTGACAAATTTCTTCTCTATCTGACAAATAAAGTTCTCGAATGCACTTTCTTCTAAGTTAAATGAAACAAGCAGTGGTGTTTAAATCCTAAGGTGAACAATTACAAGAGCACTCAAGTCTATCTAGCAAATATTTTTCATAGATATAGACTCAGTCACCTAAAAGATTCAATTTTTTTTAGTTTTCTGTTCAGGGCAGCAGTTATTTTGAAAGTTCAATACCAGCAATACCCTATTAAACTAAAGGGATGTATACTTATGATAAAAGAAAAGCATTATACATGAAAATGATGTAGAAAGAGCAGCTATAAGCTATCATAACTAAATGCTAAATAATGGATTAAAAGACGATGCTGCAAAATCAGGAATGCTCACCCAAAAAACACTACAAGAGAAGTTCAAAAGATAAAAATATGACAATATGAAAGTTACAATGAGCATGACAGTCAATTTTGGGCATGCAGAAATACTCTACCTGTGCAAATGTGGCAATTGATAGAAGGGGTTTCTCTCCAACTTTTTGTTGTCTAGCCTGTCAAGTTATATGTAGAAATGATGACAAACCATACCAATACATAAAAACAAAAACAAAGCAGAACTCCTGCCACATGTTTGGATCAAATATCTATCAAATATGATTATACCAAAGTATGTCTTAGCTTATATAAACAAAATCTTACAGACTGTGCATAAGACTCCTGAAAGTCAGAAAGCAAGATTTCAAATTAACAGTAGTAGCAACAATCTGAAAATCAGAAAGCAGAGATATAGAAGAGAGAACAAAAAGGGCAAACCCATTGCAAAATGCTCCTGCCTATTCAACCTATTCAACGAATTATTTGAGGGTATTTGATATTGAGTTCCTCAAACACATAATTTAAAGAACAGACCATCACATTTTCATTCTATATCATCTTCAAATCTGTGGCATACTATCCTCCATCCTCCTCTATGCTGACTCCTAAAGAATGTCAACATAAAACTGGAAAAACTACTGTATCTGAAGCACACCTGAAAGTTTGATAGAAAGCTACTTGAGTACAATTTCTTATAGCCATCATTAATCAGTTCTGTTCAAAATGTAAACGTGGTCTGACTTTAGGGATAAAGAAAATTGGCCAGTTACCGTTCTTGCAGGTATGCGCAAATAACACAACTGTACATGCTACTGCATTTATGTGACAGTTTGTACTGCAATAGTTTTGAAACCCTAAATTAGCCCGTAACAAATAAGTACTAAGATTAACTCTCAGACTAGTTAGCAAAAACATCACTTAGTAACCAAATGATCATATGTTAAAGAGAGGATAAAGAACCATATTCTCCTAATTATCAAACATATCCATGTTCACAATCATCCAATCATTTGGCACTATCCATAGGACTCTACGCATGTTATGCATGTGGAGATATCAAAATTGAACTTCTTCAGAAAGAAACAATCATAAAGACTTAACAAGAGAACAGTGTCTATCGTTACAGTTGTATGGACAGTCCTGATCATGCACAAGAACAATGAAGCTGGACAACCATAGTCTTCATCCCTAGGCCTTCACTCATGTTTGAATAGCACATATCTCGTCATGACTAAACTAATGGGATAAGTAACTCATTAACTTCGTTGAGCCTGAACCAATAACCCAAAATGCTTAAGCCCAAGTTAATAGCATTACACTCATCATACGCTTATAAGTCAATCTAAGTCTTTGTCCATTTTCCAATGTGGGATTAAACCGGAGAGCTACAAACTCGAAGTGGGCTTAACATCGGCCCAACATAGCCCAAAATCAGACTTAGCATAGACCTTAGTATAGTGCATGTGAGACATAACCAGTGGTGGCTATACATCATGTCGTGTCGTGTAGCCCTATAGCCCTTTTTCTATTCAAGTCTTTCACTCAAATCCCAATACTAGGTCACCTTTGATACAAATTGTCATGATCTAACCTGATGATGAGATAATGACCCCGTTAAATTCACCGAGTCCGAACTACATATCCAAGATACTTAAACTCAAATTAATAGTAGTATACCCATCAAATACTTATACATCATCATCAACAACATCCAAGCCCTTTGCTTAGAACTCTCAAATGCTGAATTAAGAAATGTTATGATTAGCTGTTAGACCTGATCTCAGACCTCCATATTTCTAGCTTCTGAGCATGTTTAAGAGAGAACTTCAAAAGGATATTCAAGAAAAGGCTACTTGGCTAATAAAGTCGTCCATGTTAGTTGCAGTTTGAGATCATGTAACCTAAATTCCCTTGAATTCCAAAGTGTCTAACAAATGGAAAATGCCAGGATAAATTGACCTGATTCCCACAGATATATATTAAAACATGAGCTTAGAAATAAGACAAACCTGGAATAACAACATAATGATGGCAAACAGGACTTTTGCAACTTCTGTTAAAAAGTTCACACTGATAGGACTAAACTTGAACTTGCCATCCACCTTGCACATATAGACTAGTATAGGCTGCAATAGATTTCAGGATCTGGTTAAGCACTATCAATTTTTCACAAGATTACATACCAGAAAAAAACAACTGTAAACAGGAGCTTGTCCTATGAACACCCAATAATAAGTGCAAGTGTATGTGATTGATCAGAGGTTCCCAAGGAAAAGCGTTTGTGACTGCCTATGTTCTGAAATTTGACTTGTGCCCAAGTATCAGCACATTTACCAATACCAAGCAAGATTAATTCTCCAGAAATGTGGCTAATCATGTTCACGAGAGCAAGACTTATTTACTCAAACCTAAAACATACTCTAAAAAATTGAATCTTAAATGTTCTTGTAAGCTCATCATACAAAAAAGAAAAGGTTATTCTCTCCTAGCTTCTACCACACTAGATTGACAGTCTTGCAGGTGATCCACCCTGTCATTGGGGATGGAGATCTGTTAGCAGGTCAGCAATAATGCTCCAGTTATGAGATGTCAAATCCATGTCTACTTGTGACCATCACCACCCCAACAGAAAAGAGAGATCACATTCTATGTTAGAAGCACAGGATAATGAAGTAAAGTATATTAGCACATAATGACATTAGCATATGTTGTCACCAGGCATATATGACAAAGGTTCAGTTGAGCCTCTCTGAGCTTTTATCATTCTGTATCAATTATATATTACCTTCTCTGTATTATAAAGGTTATAAAAGCTCTCTTGCCTTTCGTTTCTCATTTATGAGCATATTTCCCCTTTTGGTGGTTAGGGAGATCCAAAGTAGGGATATAACAAATCCATAATAGAAATCATCATGCTTCACCTAAAGTGAATTGTTGTGATCCCTCAAATTATAATGAAAAGAATCAAATCATAATTACAAATTATATTTCTATCATTTCACACTGAGGTCATCATATTTTGTATGGTTAGAAACTGTCTAAATTTGTAGAACTCTTTAGTTCATTTGTTTCCTCAGTCTATATGGGAAAGATTCGCAATATTGCATACAGTATTGTGGTTCCAAACAAGATCAGGATGGACTCCATTATTACTCCCAAAAAAATGCAATAGCAACTTTAGTAACCAATAAATCTACAACAAACATGCGCTAAATTCAGCAGTGACAATGAACTTGCCTAAGATGAGTGATCAATGAACTTATATACATGTTTGAGATGATGGATTCTTCTCTGAATGTTTCTACACTAATCTTTAGCTGGAAGGGAGATAAGGAGTAAATATCACAACCAGCAATAGTTGTTTATTAAATAACTATAAATATTTTATTTTGATGATCAGAAGCAACCATATTTAAGTTCACAGTAACCAATCCAAATACTCCAGACCCACATCTCTTAGGCTCTTAATCTGTCTCCATACTTATGATAAGAAAATGTAGGTCAGGCAATGGCAAAAAAGAAAAGGGCAATGGAGGAAAAGGCTTTAATTAAAACTTTGCTCATAGTGGTTGCCTAATTGACTTTTGTCAAAGGTCTTAATGTTTGTCAATATGACATACAATAGTTTTCAATTTCAAGTCTTGATATTATACTCAATTGATCTAATTAAGGGACAATTTACAAAAATAATCTAAAACATGTATTCTGCCCATGCCACAGATCAAAACACTTAAGCGAATGAGAGAGACATCAGAATTGCCATGTTCAGTATACCAAACTAGAAGCAAAAGTAGAGCGCAGCATTTAACTGGCATGAATCAGCACATGAAATACAAGTGAAAACACCTCTGTCTGTACATATAATTTGCTGGAAATTTACATATTATGTGGCAACCACAATGTGTACCGACCAGCACTTAATTCATGTGTCTAAGGCAACAGATGGAAAATGAGCGAAGTTTCAACTATTTCTACCAATGAAAACAGAAGCAAACCGAGTCAAGCTTGTGCCACTAGGAATAAAATGTAAGCGTGCAACACTCTGCTATATTCTAAAGGAAAACTAAATCTGAAGATTACATGACCATTCAATATAAATTACCTGGAGACCGACCAAGATACAATCACCCACAACAAGAAGGAAGTTGAGAGCACGATATTTTGATGACACATTACTTCTATGTTTATCATATGCCCTTGATACAGATCTGGGGCTTGGTGAAACAAATTTGGAGTGACAGTAACTGCATTCTATCATCCCGTTCTTTGGCATCTCAAATGTAACCCCTCTTGTTAATTGGCCTATAGACGGCCAATAGTTCCAGAAATCAAATCTCTTGTTGTGGTATCAACAACACCAGACCTGAGAACATGATAGCATACAATAAGTAAAGAGTATAGGAAGTAAAGATAATCCATGATCATCCAATGCTGAAAAGTTTCGACAAGTATAACCTTATAAAAGATCAAGGAGCAACATGTAAAACAAACAAATATACCAAAAGCGACCTCCATATAACAATTGGCCTAGAAATTGGAACGAACCAAACAGATGACACCCGGAAATCTCATGATGAATCCTATGACTTCAGGCCCATAAAACCAAAAGCGCTCTCACTTCAAACTTCCCAACAAAATAAAACATCACACATTCCCAAACAAAAAAGACAACAGAAAACCACATCTCCGCTATGAGTATTCTATTCAAATCATATATGATCCTCAAAGATAAAATGTAAGCCCGCAAACAAAGCCCATAGTCATAATTGAGGTAAGGTTTCGGAGACTGACCAAGATTCCAGATCAAGATTCACCTAGCTTAGCTTCGACCGCGCTCGTCGCAGAATGGAGGCGGTCGAAACCAGATCTAATCCAACGGAGTCCAAGTCGAAGCAAGATCTAACCGTCGCCACCTGCAAATCCGGCGGGGATCACAAGATTCGAGGCCTTCTCAATGGGATCCCGAGATCATTAGGGTTCTTGAGATCCGGATTTATAGAACTCGAGAGATGGCCGAGAAGAATCACCGGAAAGCGGCAGAGGCCACGGCGACGATATGGGAAGCGGAAAGTCTTCACACGTTTGTTTCCTTTTATAATATATCACACAAACACTAATAAACCTGCGCTCCCCAAACTTTACACCTCCAAACGACACATTTGGTTGGCGGAAGCAAGTGAGTTCCATTGGTTAACGACCGAGCGTCAAGTGGGTATGAGTCGAGCAGTCGGTAGCGTACCGGTTAACACACAAAAACGTGATTGTTATGATACGGTAGCCTTTCTTCGCTTTAAAATGCAGTTTTGAACGAGCGCCGCTTGATGCAGCAACTCGAGTAACGATTTGATCCAGATGCTGGCGTGGTCGGTGACGACGCCCCATATCGGCTACCGGCGCCCCGAATCGCGACTAAAGCTCCGTACGCAGGACACGAAGCATTCCTCCATTTGCCGACTTGGGTGGTTCCCATCCCACGAACCTGCTATGTGATTGGACCCTTGTGGGACCCACCAATTTAGGTATAACTTGTTGTGGAAGCTTGGTCGAGCCACGTGGACTTATCAGATCCGTCAGATTACCGGGTCGGATAGTGGACATCCGAAATCTCACATCCTGATAGTTGACGAACCCGATCCGCTTATCTCCGGTCGTTCTCCTCCTCCTCCTTCGAGATGACGTCACCAAAAAAGGGAGCAGAATTGCCCCCTGTTCTCCTGCATCGACGTCTCCAGTCAAAACCCTCTTCTCGATTCGATATCTGAGACTTGAATCGGTATGGTTTCTGTTCTTTTGAGGCGACTTTCATTCTCATTTATTATTGTTTTTTTCTTAAGTATTTGAATCAGATGCAATCGGACTAGCAAACATTGGTTATTCTTTCTATTTTGGACAGGAAAAGTTGTCACCTTTCCCGTTTCAGACACCTCGATCGCTTCGGATTTGTAGCACCAATTGCTGGGGAAGCGAAGAGTGTTCTTGCAGCAGTTGTTGAAGCAGAATTCATATTAACATCATCACGATACATCATGTGTAGCAAAAATGCAATTATTCCTGATGCAGAAAGATCATACATACTAAAAGACAATACATTATTAGTGATCTCAGATTTCAGGAACACTTTCTCTGTGCCTCTGCTTCAGCAGCCACATCGCATTCGAGCCTTGCTGTGCCACTGAGAGAGTGTTGCAGAGCATCTCAGGCAACATATGGCAGAGCATAATTCGCGGGGTTGAGACATAGCACCACTGGCTGTTGGATCTACATGGACCGTCTCCATCAGCTGCATAATCTGACAGTGCATGCCACTGCTTGGGCCCAATACTTCAGTCTTGCTTTAACTTCTTCGGGATGGTCACCTGTAAATTACAGAGGTAAAGAAAAGAACTGAGGAACAACAGGCAGAATAAGACAATTGGGATGATCATGAGCTATTGGCATTTCAGCAAGGGAAAGCAGATTATGTCAGTTGGGAAAACAGGGGAGGAGATAAAAAAATGAACTTGATGATGGAAGATCAACAAAGACATCATAAGCTAAGATCACAACACGCTTGTTCGTGGACTGAAAGTATGCGAGATTCAGAATTGCTGTGTGTAAATTGATATGAAAGAAAGTGAAGCGGTCAACACTTATTTCAGTGGATAGATCCTTCCCCAAAAAGAAGGAAAAGGAGCGAACGTAATAAAATGAGTGTTTTGATCTTAAATCCTTGAAAATGTTTGGATTTTTGTTTTCCTCCTTTGTCGGATCAGAACCTCCCAGCAAAGCATTCAAGGTGATCTTCTAAGATTCGCGTGTGGATGCAAAGATGGCATCTTACCGGGACTGGAGATCTTCCAATTGGCGACCGGAGGCGTAGCGCACGGCTCCGCCGCCACGGACGGTTCGCCAGCCGCCTCCAACGACCTGCTCATCGAGTAGCAGAGCTCCAAGGCCGGCAGCGTGCCGCAGAGCTCGGGGATCTCCTCGTAGCTGAAGCCGAAGCCCAGGTCCAAGCACCCCTTGAGCTCCTCCAGGTCGTCGTCGGTGAGGCTCCTCGTCCTCCCAACCCCGTCGGCGCCGTCCGGGCCCCGATCTGCCCCCTCCACGTACCCCTCGAGCGTGACTCCCCCGCCGGGCCGGCTCCTCCGCGGCCACGCCTCTTCCAACCCCATCTCCTCCATCTCTTCTTCCGCTCTCCTCCAAATCTTCTTCTTCTTCTTCCTCTTTGCCCTCTTAGGGTCAGGGTTTGGATTAGGGATCGAAACATGGGATTCCTCTTCGGAGGAATAGCTCAAACTACCCATCCCTTCCTCTCTCTCGGCGCCGCTTTGGCAGGTGAGGGTGTTGTTCTTCATGAGTTTTATGGCGGTATTATGCCATCATGATAGGATTACGATATGATCGACCATCGCATCCGTTATATCCTATGGTGCGGAATGTGATATAATGGGAACAGAAAGACTAGGCAGAGTATAATATAAATTTCAATATCAAACGGATTGTTGGATTATAATATATATATATATATATATGAAGCCGCCAATTTTAGAAAACATTTCTCCCCTTAAAGAACCCAATAAAAAGACGAGAACAGAGATGTTGACTTATGGCTGTCGAGTACACCGTGAGGAAGATGAAGATGCCAAAGCCAGGAAGAAGGTGGCCATCATACTATGCATTGGTACGACTCTCGGCCTAACTGGTAGCGTCTCCGTGTACTCAACACCACAGCATCTTCCAGTAATCGAAGCAAACAAAACAAAGGCTCTTCGAGTATCGGAAGACAGAAGAGAAGCATGCAGCACAACCATTCGACAGCAGCAGGGACATGGAAGCCAAAGCTCTTCGAGTACCTGAGACATGCATTCTCTTCTTCGACTCTCATCAACTGAGTTGACTGAACTGCACGAGTCTGTCTTCTCTTGTACTCTCTGCAACAGATCACAGACGAGTAAACAAAAGCATCAGGCATAATTGTCATTTGGAGTAGAATGATATGTTTCGGTGAGATGTAATGCTTCCGACTTGAGAAATAATTAATATTATGCGTTCTTTACGGCTAAGAAATATTTTTCCGTCTTCTATTCCTGGGAGAGGAGAGTCTGCAAAGTTACCGTAGACTCCACTGCGAGCTCCCATTGGGTCGTATGTGCGGACGTGGATCCGTGGCGGCGTACCATGACATCCATACATGGGCATGATGCCTTGGGACGAGCCATGGGCATGCGTTCTCACCCACGCATGCATCCATGGTGAGCGGACACGTGGGGCCCGTCGGCACCTCGAGGACATAACAAGACAAGCTTCCGCCACCAACCCACGTGGCCGGTCGTTCTCCCCCAATTATTGTGGCGAGATGCGTTTCCCGCAGCACCCACAACCACACCCTCCCCAACAAACGTGGGTCCCACGCAACAGGTGCGATTGCCAGGTCGGCTTCCCCGACTGTACCATACGATTGGATCGCGATAGAATATTCTGCACAAAAGATTCCATACGATATATATATATATATATATATATATGTATGACTTGGAGTATCTGAGAGATTGCTATTTATGTAAAATCCAACTTACACACAACCTGACATTATTTTAAAGATTGGATTGGCTAAAATTCTTCTAGTTCTACATTCCATCTAAACAAAGAAACTGACATGAGTAAGAACTCATGAATGGATTTACAAGAATTCTCCATTCCATCTAAACACGCAAACAGACAAGAATAAGAAATCATGAATGGATTTGCCAGGAGCATCAGTGTTCTTCATTTTCAAGCAAGAGCACCATCAGCATTGTTAGTCCTCGTTCAGCTGAAACTCAATTGGCCGTTCCAGAAATGAGGGATGATCGGCCTCAGATTCAAGGAGACCGTCGATTTCTTCATGACCTGCGAGCACCAAAACTGCAGATGTTTTAATAAGAAAAATAATATGTCTCCACAAAACAGGACATGGATGGGGAAATGTTCGGTTTGTGGCAACATCGGAAACACTGAGATGGGAATTTAGCAGGTATTATGTCACCCCCATATGTGCGCAATCGAGAGGAAGGGAGAAAAGAAGACAGACCTGGAGTTGGAGATGTGGTGATGATAGGAAGCACCTCGGTTTCTAACTCCATCTTCTTCTCATCTTTGGTACCCTTGGAAAGCACCTGACCAGATTCACAAGTATAACATTTACAAGTAACATTCCATCTTGCAACATCTTGCTGAAAATAATTTGTTTCAAATGTTTAAAATGTTGGCCATTTAACCGTGTGATCGATACACCAGGTTACCAATTATCCTATTGGGACTATTGTTATAGATCGATATCGCAATCCATATCTAACGTTTTCGGCAATAGAAAAAAAAAAAAAGTACAGTTCAGGATGAATCACCACTAGGACTTAATTCAGTGTTTCTCACTTCAACCCCTAATTATTCACCAAGAAATTTATGAGGCATTTCATTTCCATCTTAAAACGATCGGTCATGAGCAGGTCTTTGCATAAGGAGTTGTATGAGACCCTTGGAACAATGAATGCTCATCTTAATGTACCAAAGACATCCAAACAAATTAATGTTCAAAAATATCAATATCCACAGTAGCATAATATTTCCAAATGACAAGAAAAATCGTATTGCTTGGTTTGTAAATTTTGTTCTAGCACTAATATTTCCAAATTTTCTTGTTTTTTTTCTCTTCTGCTAAAACACCAAAACTCGCATCTAAAACCTAAAAGCCTGATCACAATCAAGCTTTAAGACCTTACAATATATGGTCCGACACTAGAACCTCTGCATGTTATGATTACAGTCGATCGAATATTGAAGCTTCTTATGTGGTCAACTCATAGTAGTGTTCGATTTCTACTAAACTGAATGTCGTAGGAGCCACATACCTTCTCTGTCAATCCGAGATCATTTGACCGTTCATGTAAGTCAGACATCACCATCCGAACCTTCTTGTTTACACCTAATCAAGAAGATGTGAAGCAGCATAAAGTTGTCAGTAGCTTGAATTAGTGCATGCAGAATATTTGCAAATGTTCAGAAAAAGAACAAACTACAAAGGATGTGTACAGAATTTACGTTCTTCATCGATATCTTTCTGTAGCTTTTGTAGTTCATTTCCTGTGAAGTGTGTCTGCTCGATTCCCTCCCTTGCCCACTCATGGCATCTCTTCATTTCTTCATCAGTGAGGATGGTTCTTTTGGGGGCAGTTTTGATGGTCTCCCGAGCACGTAGTGCAGACTTATCCTTCAGAGCCGAGGCTTTTGATGGGCCAGAAACCGGAGGTTTTCCTGTATTGGAAAGATCCTTCAAGGCCTTTCGATCTTGACGACCGGCCTTTGCAGGCTTTGGCGGAGCAGCCTTCGTAAGATCAACATCTTTTCCTGCAAAAAATACATGGAACTTTAATTAGTGCGTCCTAATATTCGCTTGAATTTAATTGTTTAAGCTCATACCTATAGGGATGCGAAAGTTCTCGTTTTGAATCGCAGCAGGTGTTCGGTAATAAGCCATAGGCGCAAATCAATACTTTTGCACTAACAAATTACAATATAATCACTTTAGCAGGAGCAATAAGGAATTTAGTGCATATTGAAAGAGCCAATATTACTCCATCAGATCAACGTTACAGGGATACCATTCAGCAACCCTAGAACTCACAAATCCAAGATCCAAATGAAACAACAGAAGCAAATCGAGCGAAATCAAACCCCAAATTTCAAGAAATTTATGCGGGTAGTAGGTGGTACCACAACCGAAAACAATAAAAAGATATGTTTCCAGACCAATCGTTCAGACGATTCCTCCGATACTGCATGATATTCCACCAAGATTTCATCTTTTCGACGCGAAACCACATGAAGGAGAGAGAAAGAGATAAATCATGATGACAAACCAAGGAAGACAACAAGATCACGATGTAAGACCGAAAGACTTAGTCAAGAAACCACCGTAGAGGAAAGGAAAAGGGGAAAGATTGTGTGGGAGAAGAAACAGGAAATTCCGTGAATCTTGCACGCGGGAAGAAAACATCCGAGACACACAACGATCGAACAAAATGGATGTTTGGAAATTACCTGAGACCAATTCTTACTAAAACATAATCTTATTCTTTCTCTTTGAGACGGGGAAGGCAGAGAGATGCCAACGGTAAAATGGAAGTGATATGCGGGGGAGCGGGACGAGCAGCAATTTTAAATCCCTAATACTGTACCACGTCTCTCGCACGTGCGTGCAAGAGAAGCTTTCTTTGTCTCTGATTATAAAAGAGTCGAGGGACTAAATTATAAAAAAAACTCAGGACACCACGTGTTTCCGACGTGGCAGACTCCATCACCCCTGAATACTATCAGGGGAATGCCATGATTTATTGATACAAAAATTTTAATAATTTATCATAAAGTCATGAATTTAAATTCCATCTTTATCAATTATCTTTCTTAATATATATATATATATACTAAAAAATTGAGCATTTATTCGTTTCTAATTAGAAAAAGACTGAGAGGCTAATCTATAAAAAAACCTGTTTACGACGGGACTCTGTCACCCCTGAAAGCTGTAAAGGTGACGTCATCAATTCAATAATTCTTTTGTCATGTTTTTGAATCATATATAGCACGTGGCCCGCAAAGGTTCTTCTGATGGGGCGGGACTCTGTCACTCCTGAAACCTGTCTGGGAAAATTAGATAGACTCAACTTTATCTTATATATTAGATATTAATTAGAAGTAAAACAAATAGCCCTTATAGCTCAGTGGTAGAGCGTCAGTCTTGTAAACTGAAGGTCCGTAGTTCGATCCTGCGTGAGGGCATATATTTCGGTAATAAAGATTTTTTCGTATAAAAATGTTTTATCTTTTTTTTTATTTTAATTAAATACAAATATTCTAAAATTCCTTCCAACTTCTGACTATTGCATAACTATGTTGTAACTTCTCTAACTTTTTTTTTTTTGGGGTGATCAGCATATTTCCTCTTAATTTTCAATTTTCATCTTCTGTATTTTTCTCATTCTCCTCTTTCTAAAGCGCATCATGTTGTTGTAGATGATATGATTATCTATTTCTTAGAAATTTAAAAAGACGAAACAATAGAAAAATAAAATCTTAAATTTTTTAAAAGAAAAAAGTTCTATCATCGTGCGAGGATTAGTAAGCGAAATAAAAAGGTAAAATCAAAAATTACATATATTAAAGTAGATTTATTACCTAGGAAGATCGTATATCCCTACGAAATCTCGTATCTATAGGAGTAATGAAAGAGATCAACTATCATTTTTAGCGACGATCCATATGATAGATACAATGAAGATGCTCTTTAAATCGTTGTATGATCTTCCTTTTCACGTGCATCATGTGATCAAGAAGGAGCCAACCCTTCTTGCTGTCCACATGCCTCAAACTAGGATTGCGGTTGAGGAGGAGAGGGAGAGAGGAGAATAGGAGGTGACAACCAGAAAATGTCAGCTTATGCCACTTTGGTTCCATTCTATTTATAGAGGTCTCTATCAAATTAATCATAATGGATCCTGCCCTATTGAGTCATGGATCTCCATCCAATTACCCAAGCATCTCGGATGAGTAGATTTTTACCTAATAATCTCTCGTTGTCTCTTATTGGATCTTATCCATATAATCGAATAATTTAGGAGTTTACTATATATCTAATAAGATATGGGCTTCAACGGATATCTAATATTTGAACCTCTGCTCATTATAACACATACTATATGTGTTGACCCTCTATGCCTAATATCAAGCTACCCCCGAGTCATACATGTTAGATGTACTACACCACTACGTCTCAATCTCCAAACAATATAGAAAAATACAATCCATTGGACTTATCTATCCTCAATTATCATATATGTATAGTCCTTCATCTATCTAATATCTTAGAGATCGTATACTAAGCATTGTGTTATCATACTCATATGAAATCTACTTAAGTCTCACTATAATTAGATTCTCTCGGAGAACTTTTTTTCTTTTAATCCGAATAACCATAGTTATGGATTTGCTTGAGCAATAATACATAGGATATTCCTCTCATGATATCGAGAACGAATGATTTTTTATCGATACTTAATTGCCATTGTGAGATTGGCTACCACTCTTGATAATTTGTTGTGCTATATCTAAAACCTTCAAACCTATAAATCCGGTTTCAAAAAACGGAATACTCATACATGGCATCCTTGGTATCTCAAGTTTAAGGATCATATGCATAATTGAGATCACGAAATCGATGTTTGACATTGAGGTATCATGAGCAAAAAGCATTCCGTGAGTTGATCAATCAGTGAACTTATTCTCCAATGATCATCTGCACTATATCCTTAGTGTTCTCATACGAGTAACTATGAAACCAACGACCTCTATGTTCCTCTCGATTTGGTTATACAACAAACCAATCAATTTGGTTATCTCGATGTTCCTCTCGAGTAACTTTCGATCAAGATTATTTATAGTATATGTTTAAAAATAAATCTGTATCGTTGTCACGATTTCATTTCGATTCTCATTGTAATGATGTATCGATATCATAATATATATAATATATAATATAAAATAATAATAAGTAAAAAAGATTACATAATATGTTTTGTCATCACTCGTGTTTGAATTACATGTCAATTATGACTTATACTAATACTATTCACAGAAATATCTCTCATACACCAGCAATTGATGACATCAAATGCCAACCTTTTGCATTATAAGTCAAGCAGATATCAATGCATCAACCAGATATGACATTGGTGGTGCGTGCAGTGAATCAAGTCCCGTCTTGCACTGCATATGTGACAATATTTTACATATTATGATATATTAAAAATAATATTCTCTCGACTATTTGATTATAAATTTAATATAGAGAGGACAATATTCTCTTGACTATTTGAATCAAGTCCATCTTGCACTGTAGATGTGACAATACTTTACATGTTATGAGATATTAAAAATAATATTCTCTTGACTATTTGATATTAAAAATAATATTCTCTTGCTAGACTGGTTTATATTAAGCAATACATTTCTTATTTAAAAAAATTAAATATATATATATATATTTTTCAACCATGATAAATACATCAACACTAATCATATTTGGAAATTAATCCTATATTTCAAGGAAGGGGATAAGTCCTGATACCATATAATGGTGTATCCAAAATATGAAGATTGTCTTATATATCCTTATAAACGTATCAAATGATGCATGTGATTCCACCTTGGAATTGCAGTGTAATGTCAGACTGCAGTCATTAATCTGCCATGGAAATATATCTTACATTATGATTATGATTAATGAAGTCAATCCAAACTTTCCATCATCCATATTAGTCCATCTCATAATCTTCGTTTTCTATCTTTAACTCTCCCTTCCTCTCTCCGCGTGTGTATATTACGGCGGCCTTCGTCCGTCGGTGCGTAGATATCGTCTTCTTCTCTCTGCAACATGGCGAAGGACCTCATCGCGAGCTTCGGGGAGATGCTGATCGACTTCGTGCCGACCGTCTCGGGCGTGTCGCTGGCGGAGGCGCCGGGCTTTATTAAGGCGCCCGGCGGCGCCCCGGCCAACGTGGCCATCGCTGTGGCTAGGCTCGGCGGGCGAGCCGCCTTCGTTGGGAAGCTCGGCGATGATGAGTTCGGGCGCATGCTGGCGGGCATCCTGCGGGACAACGGAGTCGACGACGGTGGCGTCCTGTTCGACACCGGGGCGCGCACCGCGCTCGCCTTTGTCACCCTCAGGGCCGACGGCGAGCGCGAATTCATGTTCTACCGCAACCCCAGCGCCGACATGCTACTCACCGAGGCCGAGCTCAACCTCGACGTGATCAAAAGCGTAAGCGCATGCATCTCCCTCTCTCCATGTTCTTCGTCGCAGATCCGTAGAACTCAGATCTGTGCGTCTGAGATCCGCAATCTACCTTGCGGAGATCGAACCCATACTGCTTCTCTAATTGTTCGACGTTTTGCCTTTCCACTGTTCTTGGTTCTCTCGTCTCCAGGCTGCTGTCTTCCACTACGGATCCATAAGCCTGATAACAGAGCCATGCCGTTCGGCGCACCTGAAAGCCATGGAGGTGGCCAGACAAGCAGGAGCGCTGCTCTCCTACGACCCGAACCTGCGCTTGCCGCTGTGGCCCTCGCCGGAGTCGGCGCGGGAGCAGATCATGAGCATCTGGGACCAAGCCGACATCATCAAGGTCAGCGACGTCGAGCTCGAGTTCCTAACCGGGCAGGAGTCGGTGGAAGACGACGTCGTGTTGACCCTCTGGAGACCGGAGTTCAAGCTGCTGCTGGTGACGCTCGGGGAGAAGGGATGCAAATACTACACAAAGGTAAGGCAGTGATGTCGAGTTCATCACCGTGATCCAGCTCCATCGCTCAAGACTTCTCTCGGTTGGATCCGGCGCAGGACTTCAGAGGTAGCCTCGATGGGTTTGCCGTCAACACGGTGGACACGACCGGAGCAGGAGACGCGTTCGTGGGCGCCATGCTCAGGAAGATCGTGGACGACCAAACCGTATTGCAGGTGAGTCGAAGTACAAGAAGCTGACGCATCCATACCTTTTCATGGCATCTCGTCTCTGGTTTGAGCTCACTGTGGCTGATGCAGGAAGAAGAGAAGCTGAGAGAAGTTCTAAGGTTTGCCAATGCCTGTGGAGCCATCACCACCACCAAGAAAGGAGCGATTCCTGCTTTGCCAAATGAGGCTGAGGCAGTGGAGCTTCTGAAGAGGGATTAGAGAGTGTCAGCCTCTCTGAGTTCAATGCATTTAGTTTGGAGTTTGAAGATGCCATTAAGGAGTTCTGCTCATTGTCATTCCATCTCATTTCAATACTCGGGCAGGAATCACTGAATTGTTCAGACCAATATAATAAAACCTGATTCAGATCATTTTGTTTTTGATTGGCATAGAACTCCAAATCGATTAATGCTACTAAAAAGTGCTTTATGCCAAGAAAAAAATGCTTCCTGTTCATGGAAGAACAAATAGCTTACGATACGAATTGAAAGGGCTAACGCACGACGACGACGGCATGAGTGGCGTTGACGTCCACAAAGGCCTCGGCATGGCCATGCATGGGTTTTGACCTTACTAGAGGAAGTCCAACAAAAGACCAAGTTACCATGTCCTCTTCTCCTTTGAGGAACTCTTCTCTCTGTTCTTTGTTGTTGTTCTCCCTCTTCTTCTTCCACTGCATAGGTTGGACTTCAGATGACAGAAACCCCGTGCATTAGGCTGCCGTGCCGATGAGAAGAAGATCTCAGACAAAGAATTTGTACTCCTGCAAGAAGCAGAAAGGTTGAAGATGAAGAGACGTGCGTGCCTCAGCCCATGCGCAACATGCAGAGCAAGAAGATGAGTGGATTTCTCCACAGGCAATGGTGATCTCTTCACCACCATGATTGCACATGGTGAGCAAACGCTCCATGGCAAGCAGGGGCGGTGGCTTTTCCTGACTGCTGAGGTCTTCGTACCGAAACTTTCCCCATGGGCAGGACTACCGAAGGCCACTGTTCATCACAGGAAAAAGCAAAAGTGCAACTCTGAGAGCATTGTTTGATAGTCTGTGTGTTCCTTCTGTTGTCGGGATTTTTCAGGCTCGACCAAGCTAAAGTCCCACTGTCCTGGTCGCTGGTCCCGTGCTTGCAGCCCACTCCTTTGCCGAGGGGGTTCTGCTAGAGCAAGCTCGAGACAGATGATGATAATGGACGAAGAGGGAAGTCAAGTTCTCATGATAACCAGGCAAAGGCCATGTTGATTTGATTTGAGCTTTGATCGGACCCCCATTTGGATATGAATGTTTGGGAGGTACCAACAAGCAAAGCTTGCTAATCCTAAAAGAGCTGTTTCCCACTAAATTCTCCCACCAAAATGTCAGATTGGATCTGAGTGGGCGTCCATTTCACTGTGTCGGTCATGTTAGAACATCTAAGGAGAGAAGGCACTCTGAGTTCATGACATAACGAAGCCAAATCATGCAATCTTAATGCTCTGATTACTGAACATGTTGTGTTATGAGATTGCGACCACTTAGACTTCACATGCAGTTGCAGAAGATGTCGATGTTGATGATGGAAGCTAATGGAGAAGAGACTTGATGTTGAAGGTTTAAGGTTTGATTGGCTTCCAAGCAGATGCCCACACCACTGGTTCCGCTTTCCATGTCAGGTAGAGTCCTGCGGCGTTGCCTTTTGCTGGCACCAGTGACCACCCTTCTCTGTACCTCTCTAGCAGCGCCTCCAGGTCGCCGATCACGTCGTCGTTGAAAGCGGTCGGCGCGAAGGCCTCCGTCAGTCTCTCGCACCATTGGCTTGCCTTTTCCCTCCTCTCGCTGACGCCACCGCCGTTGCAGGCAAGAACACCCAGTATGCTCCTCGAGCACTCCTTCTCCAGCAGGAACCTCTCGTTGCTGGTGGGCGAGAAGCTCTCCTCCAGCATTCCCAGGAAGATGCTGTAGAATTTCACGCACTGCTCGAAGCAGGCCACCAAGTCGCCTTTCGAGGTGGTGAAGTCGGCCTCCTCCTCCACCACCGTCACCACCCGAGGCCGCAGCGCGCAGAGCATGCGCACGAACGCGTCCCTCTCCTCGACGCGAACCCTTCTCAGGGCCCCGACGCAGTTCACCACGACGGCCTCGTCCTTCCGCAGCCCCAGCTCCTCCTCGGTCAGCTGGCCCAGCGTCGACGCGATGCTCACCACACGGAACTCGAACGGCACTCCCATCAATCTCGCGAACTTCACCATCCTCCGTCCTATCTCGTCCATGACCGATCCGCCCATGCTGACCATCGCCACCACAGTGAGACGCAGGTGCGGCGTGTCGCTGCCACGACTCGCCAAGGCCTCCATTAGAGTCGGCCACTGCGTGCAGTAGGTGTTACTGATGTCGACGATATGGAGCTTGCTTTCGCCTTCCATGGCTTCCATGATGGCCCCATTGGACGCGACATGGCCGAAGGTTGTCCAGGGGCTCACCTCCTGAAACTTGAGCATCACCTTCCTGGCCGTCACGAAGGACTGCTGCTTCTCCGCCGCCGATATCAGGGTGGTGTAGCAGAGCTCTCCTGCCTCGGTTGCTCGACAAAGGAGAGCTTGCAAGAAATAAGACGCCAGCTTCTGGTCACAGTCGCCATAGGGGGTCGCAAGCTCGTTCAACATCCAAAGAAGGTGATGGATCTTACTGGAATCCTTCTCGGCGATGGCCTTTGCACACTCTTGGATGAGCTCTGCCGCCCATTTCTCTTCCTCTCTTGGATCTTTAGGCTCCAACAAGCAGCTGATGGACGGATGATGGTGACAAGGATCTGTATTCTGCATGTTTGATCTATTATGGAGCTACTTGTTGGAGAAGATATGTGAGGTCGGCTGTGAAAGGCTGAGGGTGATGGTTATATATGTTGGAGAGGGACACAGACTTGAAACCTGTCGATAGCAACATCAATCTCAGTCTGGACAATTCTTCATTTAATGCCCCATACTGTTCCAGTACTATTTGATGATTAGGAATGATCTTAGTCCAAGATTTCTAAACCTAAGGCTTGGACAAGACCATACTTCTTTTGAATCTTGCAATCATTAGAAAATGTTGTCTTGAAAATGGTCCACACTGGGAGCAATGAGACTAATTGACTTCTCTCATCTGTGCCCTGTAGAATTGTGGAACACTCTTTTCGTTTTGGTGGGCACATTAAGCTGCAGACTGCAGTAAATGGCAGTCATCTTTTCTCCATTGTGCAGGATTTCTGCACCCTATGCCTACAAAAGAATCATCTAAAGCTTAAACTTTTCATGATGACACTACATGCCTCCATTTGGACGAGAAGATGCCAGGACAAGCGCTGGAATGATCGATCGTCAAATGCACCAGAAGACTACCATTGGTGATTAACGAGGATATACTGCTGGAGGATGATTTAGAAGCAAGATTTCAAGGAGACTACCATTGATGATTAACGAGGATATACTGCTGGAGGATGATTTAGAAGCAAGATTTCAAGGAGACTACCATTGGTGATTAACGAGGATATACTGCTGGAGGATGATTTAGAAGCAAGATTTCAAGGAATACATTGGATCTTTTTGTGCAGATATCTGGGGTGCAAATATGTAGGCTGCATTCAGTAGAGAGAGTATGGAGGTGGAACAGATCAAGCAACTTTACTGTCAGATCATTGTTCAGAAACTTATGATGAGAAGATTCTGTCCAAATCTGGGGAATAGTGTGGTTTCATCAGGGTCAAGAATCCATGCTGCTCCATGATGAATCACAATGATTGAAGCTTTGACCAGAGACTTGGGATCATGCTGGTGCTGGACTTACAGAGAGAAAAGAGTGCAAAGATACATTGCATATATCTACAAAGTGACAACAGAGACAACAATAGTAAATATGTATGGTTATCAGTTACTGCCTTTACATGGAATCAAACTCATCCTAAATAAAAGCTTGTTTGAATGATTTTTGAAAGATTTTTTTTTTGTTTCCATCACCAGTAGATGCAGATTATAATCCTTCCCTTGTCTTCTTGACTAGCTTTAGTATTTGTTATTTATATAGGAAAGAAAAAATAAGGTGGCATTGCTCAAAGATATATCCTTGATCTTACACTTAAAGACCCTTCTTCTTCTTCTACCTATGAGCTCCCTGTTGTCTCAAGCTTCCATGGCATAGGTTCTAATAGGACTCGAGAACAGAAACCAAGACAGAGCAAACACCATAACATGCATGTGCATTTCAAATCAATAAATCGCAATGTTATTAACATATAATGAATCAAAGTTACAGTGATTTGTTGCATCTGCTCTCAAACACAGCCAAATATAATTTGCAAGCATATGGTCTCAAACCATCTCTGTTTCAGACCTGGAATGGCTGCCAGTTACTTGCACGCTCCCCCTGCTGCACATTGGCGCTTCTCCCCATGGCATTCCCGTCCACATAGGCGTAGTACCTCAACACGAAGGCCAAAGCCATCACCATCCACTCCATGCAGAAGATGACGACGCACAGCGCCCCAACCATCCTCAGTATCACCACCCCGTCCTCCTCCCTGACGTAGGACCTGAGTCCCTCCGCCAGGAAGTCCGCCGTCCTCGTGAACACCAGCACGGCCACGGCCCCCTGGAGGATGGCGGCCAGCACGGTGGCCACCATGTGCGCTCCGTACCAGCGGCCGGAGCTGCCGGAGGAGGATGCTGCGGTGCAGCCGGCTACCGCGGCGGCGATGGTGAGCCCGTGGAGGAGGATGAGGAGGAAGCCGTTGAGGGAGGGGAAGAGGCGTAGGGAGAGGGTGAGGAAGATGCAGCTGGAGGCGGCCCCCAGGAGGATGTAGTTGCTGAGGAGGAAGGCCTTGTGCGCGCGGCAGTGCGCCGGCGAGGCGGCCTCCGGGGCCGAAGAAGCGATGGACATCATCCCCATTGTGTGTGTAGAGAGAGAGAGAGAAAGCGAGAGAGAGACAGAGAGAGAGAGAAAGCGAGCGAGAGCGAGAGAGAGAGAGTACAGTGTGTTGAGGGATGAACGTGGTGGTATATGAAGGCCACGAGGTGGGGGTGGGAATTCGACCGTTGGGAGAGGTGGAGGATAACGGCTAGTCTTGCTTCTAATAATTTAGGAGGGGATCGGGGAATTCGACCGTTACCTACATATTACTTCTTCATTATGATTATGATAGTTAAAAGATGTAAAATAATTAATGTCATTGAAATGGAGTGATAAATATTTTTTAACAAAAATAATAAATAAATATTAACAAATTTTAAAATTAATTAAATATATATCTTAATATAATCAATCTCAAATAGTTGAAACCTAAAATTTTATTGTTTGTTACGTGTGTATATAATTACCCAAATCTCCCATGACTCAATAATGTTAATTTTCTATTTTTTACTGTAAACATCTAAAATAATTAAAAAAAAGAAAATAAAATTACCATCTATAATATAAGCAGCTATATAAATGCTGCTGCAAAAGCTTGTGGTTGTGGATATAAGTAGCTGTTCTATGGTCCTGTTTAGGCCTGGGATTGTATGTAACCCGATCCGGATCCGTTCGTGGTCTAATCGGGTCGGATCTCATCAAGATCATAAGAAGCGGGGTCGGATGCGGACACCCCGATACGGTCGATCCGTTTCCAGGCCTACCCACGCCCAACAAGACTTGAGCACCCTTCTCTCTCCCCTGGGGCCCGTCTTTTCTTCTTCAAAGGTGTGGAAGTGGGTTTCGCTGCGCGTCGCAATTAATCTGCCGTTCACTGCCCCCTTCTCTCTCGCGTCCTTCGAACGAGAAACCCTTCTCTTCCCTCCCGTCCCGATCTCCTCCTCCAGCCTCCGAAACCCTAAAATCCTCCGCGGATTGACCGCGCACCCAGGCCATCCGACCGGATCCTCGTCAAGTCGTGCGGCTCTGGAATGCTAATCGAAGACGATTGAGCGCGGAGATCGAAGGCTTAATGGACGATCCGAGCTCCGCTGTAAGAGCCTTCTTTGCTCGCCTTCCGGTGTCGGAATTTCAAGATTTTAGGATCTTCTTGGTGAATCCGTCGTTCTTAGCGAGTTTATTAGGAAAATTAGGGTTTGTTCGAACTACCTCCTCTGGCAATTCTTCGATTAGGTCTTCTTTGGGAGAACTCTGATAATCTTTTTTTCTTTAATTCATGTTATGTTATTACTATCTGAGGCGGTTAGTGAGTCGTTCAACATCTACTTTGCTCTAACTTTTGTCAAAGATTAGGAATTTTGTGGAGGTTGACTTGTTTCGAGGTATTGTAAGGACTCTGAGTAATCTTAGTGCCCGACTAGAATCAACTATTTGGAGTTTGCGGAGCAGCTTAGGTCAATCATTTGCATGAGTAACTGTTATTTAAGAAAGGAAGTATGATGTTCTTTTTTGTTCTTTTTTATGACGGATGACTGTTTGTTGAGTTAATACTTGTATATGTATCAATGTAATATATTCTTCTTTAAATTGATGTAACTGTTGAGTCTAAGTCGCAAACACTTGATGTTCATAACGATTTATCAGGGTTGCATGAAGCATTATGTTCCATGTCGAGCATGTGAGTCGATTATTTTTGTTAGCTTTGATGTTGTTACTATGATGGCAATTTTCTTCTTATTCCCTATGCCAGGACATATCGAATGACATTGTAATAGAAGTACCAGTAGATGAGCATGTGAGTCTATTATTTTTGTTAGATTTGATGTTGTTACTATGATGGCAATTTTCTTCTTCTTCCCTATGCCAGGACATATCGAATGACATTGTAATAGAAGTACCAGTAGATGATGGTGATGATGATGGTGGTACTGAGGTGACTGGAAAGCTACCTGAAGATGGAGAACCATTGAAGGTAATTATGATGTTGAGATCTTTGATCAAGACACTTACTTTTTTGGCTGAACATGATAGACTTGAGTACTGTTCTTCTCCTTTGGCAGGGCATACCGAGTGACTGTGGTAAAGACTCATCTGAGAACAAAGAAGTAATCACTGCTGAGGATAACACTGATGATAATGAGAAAGAGGTGCAAATTGAGCTTGATGAGGATAGTAAAGCAGTCCAAGGGGATGATTTAACACCTAGGCTGGGGATGACCTTTAAAATAGAGAGGAAGTTTGCAACTTCTATAAAGCATATGCTATGGCTGTTGGCTTTGGAGTAGCTGTGCAGAAGACATCATTTGCAACATCTGGACAGTGTAGGCGGGTAATTATTGCTTGCTCTAAGGTGGGCAAGGGCAAAACCGATGCTTGCTATAAAGCCAGACAGTCGGCAAAAACAGATTGTCAGGCTAAGATTGTGGCAAAAGCTGCAGGGGATGGGTTACTTCATCTGGTGGAAGTTAATAACGAACACAACCATCCAGTTAACCCGTCAACAGCACGGTTCCTGAACTGTTATAAGAAGATGGCTGGCTCAAGGAAACAGGAATCTGTTGGACAATCTAATGGACAGGGGAGTTCTCGACCTGATGAGATTGAATGTGAGGACTCTACTAAAATAGGGCGATTGAAGCTTGCTAAAGGAGATGACGAGGCTGTTTATCAATTCTTTGCAAATATGCAGAATAAAGATCCAAACTTCTTTTATTTGGTTGATTTGAATGATCATGGTTGCTTGAGAAGTTTGTTCTGGGCTGATGGTAGGTGTAGGACAGCATATCAGTATTTTGGCGATGTGGTGTCCGTCGATACAACCTTATTGACTGAAAAATATGATTTGCCTCTCATTTTATTTGTGGGTATGAACCATCACGGCCAGTTAGTGTTGTTGGGATGTAGTTTGATCTCTAATGAAACAGTCCAGACTTATACTTGGTTATTTAAGGCATTCCAAACATGTATGTTAGGGATCTGTCCAAATTCTATTGTTACTGACTATTCCAAGGCCATTCAAGGTGCTGTTCTGGATGTATTTTCAGGAGCTAGACATCGGTTGTGTTTGTCCAGTATCATGAAAAAAGTTCCAGGGAAACTGAAAGGACATCCTGATTTCAAAGCAATTAAAAGGGCACTGAAGAAAGCAGCATTTGATTCCTTGAAGGTTGATGAGTTTGAAAAATGTTGGATGAAAATGATTGTGGATCATGGGCTTGAAAACAATGACTGGCTTGCTTCATTATATGAGAACAGGCATATGTGGGTGCCAGCTTTTCTTAAGAACACGTTCTGGGCTGGAATGTCTGTCTCCCAACGTGGTGAGACTATAAGTACCTATCTTAATGGGCATGTCTATCCAAAGACTTCTCTGAAGCAATTTTTCAGCAAATATGATATGATATTGCAAAGCAAATACAAAAAGGAAGCAGAAGCAGATTCAGAGTCTCACAAGACTCCGCTTCTGATTTCAAAATTTTACATGGAAGAACAGCTATCAAAACTGTACACTTTTAATATGTTCAAAAAGTTCCAGGAGGAGCTGAAAGCTACTATGTATTGTGATGTTTTGCTAATCCAGATGGATGGGCCACTTATTAACTTCCAAGTCAAAGAGTGTTCATTTATTGAAGATGGTAAAGCAACAGAAAATAAGGATCATGAGGTTCTTTACAATACAGACAAACTTGAGATTCAATGTATTTGTGGTTCTTTTGAGTTCTGTGGCATCCTATGTAGGCATGCTTTGTCCATATTTAAGTTTCAGCAGATCTTTGAGATTCCATCTCATTACATTCTTGGTCGCTGGAAAAAAGATTACAAGCGATTGCATGCTGTTGACCGTTCCTTGAATGATATGCAAGTTGATAATGTTGTGGAGCGCTACGATTATCTAACTATGCGATGCCTTCATCTTGCTGAGTTGGGATTCATATCAGATGATAGGTACCAAGTCGCTTTAAAGTTACTAAAAGAGGTGGAGAAATCTCTTTTAGATGATGGTATATGCAGAGATAGGCAACCCAGGCTTCTCTCTTTTGGAATGAATTCCAATGAAAATGTTCAAAATCTTTTGTTAGCACAGCTCGGAACATCTGAGGGTAACAAGAATTCCAATTCTTTGCAAGTCAAACGCAGAGGTCGGCCACCGAAAAAGGCAAAAGAGCCTAATATGGAAATGTTAGCTCGGCCGAATAAGGAACAGGTACTTGATTATTATTAGGCATGTATATCAGACATTTCTTTATATGCACTTTGATGTTCATCCTAAATGGTTCTCTGATCAAAACTAGGATTTTCTGAGATCATCATTGGTCGGCAATGAAGGCAATATACTTCATTCTAATCCAACTCCTTCTCATCTTAATACACAGAGGATTGATCTAATGGTCTGTAGTATGTTCTGTATCTCATGGTTTTGCACTCCTAATCCTTGTGATTCCTATTCTTTTTCATATCTATATCACTTTGTTGTAACTTTTCGTAGGAAGATATCACCACAGATGACTTGTCATTTGGTAGTCACTTTGGCATGCATGTAAATCACCAGCATCACATTGGCAATCAGCCAAGGACGCAAACACATAATTTGTTGCAGGTTTGCTATATGGTTTCTTTTTAAATTTGTGTGATAAGTTTTGTTTTGACATAACCATGCAAATTAGAGTTCAAACTTCTGGTTTGGCTTTTGGTTTGTTTTCTTTATCATTAGTTGTACCATGCAATAGGATCAGATTTATCCTTTAATTACCAGATTCAGTAATTTATTCTCATGTTTGTGAATTGCAGGATCAGTATGACCATCAAACAATTGGGAATCCAAGGATGCAGTGGATTTATCAACAAATCTTACAAGTATATGCTTCCCTCAAATTTTGAGCCTTTCTATTTAAATATAATTTATGAAACAACTATGAAGGATTCATATAGGTGTTATCCCCTCATAGCTTCCATCCAAAATTAGTGATACTGGTGGACCACTTAGATGCAAGACTGTCATTGTTGATCCAACGAGGATGGTTTTGAAAAACCAATATTTAATTCATTTTATAATTCTTTTAGTGATATAAAAGAGAATGGTTATGTTTTAGAAACAACAACTGGAATTATTGATCTTGATCTTAAGGCATTAAAATAAATTGAGAATCTGTGCTGTGGATTATTTGGCATTGGACAATGTTGTTCTTTTATCCAAGTGCTGCATTACTACAGTTAAAAGTAAGTCTTTTGTGTGAGGATGAATCTAAAAGTAGTCTGGCCCAACTCTCTTATGAAAGAAATGTAGTTGTTTAGGTCGTTAAAGAATATGTAATTAATAAATAATCAATGAGCATTTTTATTAAAGAAGGCGTTGATTTTTCTAACAGCATTATTTTTTTAGAAATATGCAAGAGGCAACTAGAAATTATAATTAAAGAGCTTAAAATCCTTTTGTTATTTCCATAATATTTTTTTGATGTTCAACACAGAAGACATACAATAACGAGTTTAAAAAAAAAAAGAAAAGCTGATGTGGAGCTTGGTCACTTGACATGAACCATGATGCCCCATAGCTATTGCTAACTATGGGTCACAAGTTGGGGTTCCAAAATGCTGTTCAATCTAGAATCATCTTTCCATCTTAAATATCATTAGATGACCGAGTTTCTTAGAAAAGGCAAGAGCCTTCTGTAAGAAGTACCCATGAACAAAAAGTTCCGTAGGAGTATATAAACTTAATGATGTATCAAACATGTACTCAACGGTGCCCACACATTATTGGTATTCAAACAGTTATTTGAGATGACTGTGACAAACATTAGGAATTATTCATGTCTCATAGATTGACCCAATCTTATACGATCATATGATTTTGATCTTACATTTCTTCAGTGATTTATTTAACTTGATAATTTTGCAGGATGATCAAATACCGAAAGCACCTTCCGGTCGAAGGACTGGGTAGAGATAGAGGAGTTACAGAAGAGCCTTGGGTATGCTCTCAGATTCTTTCTTTTTGATTAAGTTATTCATATCAAGGATGTGACTCTTGGTCTTTACTGGTTTTGGCAACTGGTGATACTGTGGTACCAGTATAGCGGGTGAAATACTGGCCTTTAACGTCTGGTCTCATTGGAAAACGAAAAAATTATATAGCTACTGGTACCAACGTATATACCAGTTGGTATATACTGGTCTGTATTGTACCAGTCCAACCAGTGTATGAATCTTGATTTGTACTATGATAGATTCTTGTAATATTCTTGTGCAAATTTTGCCGCCTTATATATGCTATGGTACAAACCACTCTTCTTGGCATTTAGATCAGTAGGGACAAAGAGAATACTGTTGTAAGAATGTGGATGAAGATCCAAAAGAAGTTTCATATTTGAGGTCAGATAGCAAAGTCTTGTCATATTGTTGCAGCTATTCTTGGGCTGATTGTCAATCAATTATTTGTAATTGCAGGTTGAAGGCTGACAGTCAGATTGAAATGGCGCGGCAATTGACAATAGTGATTACATAAAACCATCAAATCTCTGACATCGCTGGAATATATGGCTTCTTTCTCTGTTAGTGATTGCCATGGTTGACACATTGAAGTCCAGCTTGAGGGATCTCATATTATCCCAGCACTTTATGGTCAGAAGAAGATGTAGTTGGAGGCTGATATCTAGAACTAGAATGGTGGATATCGTGAAGCTGTGCAAGCATTTCCACCTATGAACTTAGTTTATGCAACCTCCCCTTGTATTTTCCTAACTAGTTAGGAAACCATGATGCTATCTTCTTGTATAACGTTGTTTATGTGTTTTTTGTTAGAAATGGTTGTCACTAATGTACATATCAAGAATTTACAAGAGCATAGTCTGATGATGTTGATATCCATCACGAGGTAATGTGGGAACTTGTGGTCCATTGCTGGTACAAAAGCCATATAAGATTCAGAGTAAATTCTCATTGAGTTTTGTCTTAAAACTGAAGAGATAATATATATATATATCGTTTGGTATCCAATTGATGTTTGCATCACATTAGGCTGACTACTGGTGATACAGGCGGTGTTGTTTTATGTCTGGATGTTCATCAAATGTTTGATGCATGTATGTTCTTGCAAGTAGCTCTTACTCTCGCATTCTGTCAGCAAATGTGTTCTTGAGCATCACTCTGTGGATGAACAATTTAATTAGGAGGTATGAAATGGTCTTGCCAGAGAGAAAGAAGATGATTTAGTGGCAACAATTTCCAAAGTACTAGCAACCAGTCAATGTGGGCAGCCATTGCCATCCCTTTGCTCCCATGCCACCATTATTGGGTGTTCTTCGGATTGCTGCTGCTCCTAAGAATTCATCAGCCTCTCCATCATAATCTTGACCACGGTTGGAGCATCCACAGTTACAGCAACCCTGACTGTGGGCTTGTTCGACCATTCCGTGTTTTCTCCATACCTGCAACATTTTAAGCACATCAGTCATAGAAGAGCTGAAGAAGAAAAAGATGAAAGTAAACGAAACGTGGTTTTTCTCCCAGTCTTGAAGAAACTCATGTTTGCCAAAACCATGATCTTAGAACTTACAACAGGAAGCAAAAGCATGAGTGAAGTTTTCTCTTGATTTCATTCGCCAAGTTGAAGAAATGGCATTTTGCTCAACCATGATACCCTTCTTCAGTAGCATATATGTGCAGAGATAACTTGAAGGTATTGTCACTAGCAGCCTTAAACATTATACTTAAGAAAGCATAGCATATACATAGTTTCCCGGATAGAAAGCATAGATATGCATAATTTTCTAGATAAAAGCCTGGCAGATACATAATTTTCTAATGGAAAGCATAGCATGTAATCAAGTGATCAGACATTAAACATCAGAACTTTTCGGTGTTTTCACAATATGGATATAGATGGTTGATGATCTCATCCATCCCTTCATTGCAGAAAGTGCATGTCTGTTCAACTATGATACACTTCTTGAGTGGCATATACTTGCAATAGATAACTTAAGGTTGGTATAAACAACCTCATTTTCATGATAGGATAGCATACAAATAATTGTCTAGATAGAAAATCTTGTTACCTTTTCTTGGTATTATCAAATATCGTCATGCCTCTCGTTATACCACATGTTTGAACCCGAACCACCCCCTCAGTATAAGTCAGCAATGAAGGATCGACCGCAGCAAGAAGAGCTGTTGGGTCATGAAGGTAAACACCTGCATACATCCCACACAAAGATCATGTCATAGATACATGCCGCTTAACCATATTTCTCATCCTAAGGTTTCAGATATCAGTGGTACAAAAATATGTATCGACAGATATCTGTCACTGGTCAGACCAATGGCAGATATTGGATCATATAGCTTCGTACCTATCATCATTTGTTCTTATTTTTTTATAGTGATATTGGGCAGTACAATTGGGTATATCGGTAGTATCTCCAGTCCAATAAGATGCCAAATCAAGCAGTGGAACAACATTTTAAACATTGCTCAAAACTACTCTTACTTTACTAACCATTTGTCGCATAGGCTTCACGGTGATACGAAAAATAGATTCCCAAAATCTTGCACAGATATTGAGCAAGCTTGCTTTCGGATTTTGCAAGCTTTTCACAATCAGCATCTGAAATGAATTACAAATACCTTAGCTGAGGAATGAGAAATTTGATAAAGCACTGAATATGACAGGGTCTTCATCTTGGTAGAAAGATCATTCTATTAACTAGGCGAGCTTGATCTTTGATAGAGCTTATATTATATGAGTGTAGCATTTCGAGCTACCAACAAGTTCCTCGAAATGTCAAAAACTTCACAGATATGGCATTAGTTACCTGTAAGAACAACTTGATGTGTAACATTTATTCCCACAGCCGAAATATCAGCCCCACAAGTGAAGACAATATCGGCAGCATCAGGATCACCAAATATCTGCTTAAGGATTTTCACAAAAAAATAAAGATGAAATAGATAAGATATAATTTGTGAGGGAAATCCTGAAAAAGTTGCTTAAATTACTTGATATTCATATTGTTCATTCTAAAGAACCAATAACAAGCATAGTTGAACATGCTAAACAAATAATAATTTACACAAACTTTAGGAAAAAAAAAACTACTTTTTTGCTATCGACAATACATTGAGATGATTTGCACTCAGATATCCCGCTTGATATGTTTACGCAATAATTGCTCAATACAAGGTAAATCATTAGCTATGCCAAAACAGAATGAAATTTTGATTAAAAAACATGACATATCTTGCAATTCTTCTTCCAATAACTTAGTAAAAGCAAGTATTAGAAAGTTAATGCTAGTCCAGCTTGAATTGATCAACTTTCAGTCCTCTCTGCTACCAATCTACCCAGAAACACTTGAGGCTTCATCTTTTCTGTTAAGACCACTGCATCAAGTTTTAGCTTTGACCACATTCAACATGATACTAAGGTAAATGACAGCAGATCAGCCTCGATTTCTAACTTTGTAATTGGATACATGGCCTCTTGAGATCCAAACAAATTTAATTACCTTACAGGCCAACTTGTCTCGTATGGAATAATTTCTAATAGTTTGGACTTTGGATGCAAGATGAGTATTAGTGTAATTTTGCATGACAACATAAACCTCAAAGGCAAACCAATGGAACTAGCAATATTGTCAGGATTGCAACAGCATACATTAGCCTCAGCTGCTGGATTAACATTGCCATTCACAAAAAAGGCACCTCCAAGGATAACAATTTGCCCTATCTTCTTTGGAAATTCAGGATCATTTTCAATGGCCTGTAACAAAACAGATGATAATTTTGCAGCATTAAATAAATACCAAGAACATAGGATAAATGATGATCCAGATCAGAAGAAGCTGACCAGAGCAATATTGGTAAGCGGACCTAGAGCTACCACTGTAACTTCTCCAGGGAACTGGCTAGCTTTTTCTACGAGAAATGTTGCAGCTGATTCATCAATGGCCTTCCCCTTTGGTGGTGGGAAGTTCTGGTTTCCCAGCCCATCCGAACCATGAACAAAATCTGCAATCCGGAGCTTTGTACCTTTCTTTGAAATGAAAGAAATGAATGAAATTATATAGTGAAAGTCAGGTCTTTTATTGTGACTCCAATGCAGGAAATGAATGACATTATAAAGTAGAAGTCAGGTCTCTTATTATGACTCCACAGTAAAACTAACAGCATATGGATACGAGAAATATTAGCACACTAACAAGCATTAGATTGAAACTTTCATTCATAAGGCCAAATCGTTCTTTTTTTTTGTGGTAATTGATCAGGAGGAACAAAGACCCCTGCAGTTTGTGTGCGCAACTAAATAACAATCCAACTTCTGATGCCATCAGAAAACCAAGATGGGTAAGGAACTATATAGTAGGCGAAATCAACACAAACAAACTGACTACTTCACAATGATAATTTTCAAGAAACCTTAGAAGTTATGATCCAACTAGTTGAGTAAGGAACTGTAATTTTCAAGAAATCTCAACTACCCTGTTGAGATTTCTACAATTGCATTCATCTTTTGTGATATAATTCTTGCATACATCACTTAGCTTGTTCAACTAAATTTTAATTTAAATATAAAGAAACTAGTGAATGAAAGAAAAATAACAAAGAGACATGAATAGCAATCTCCAAAAATTGAACAACCATTTTGAAAGAAAATCTATTAAAAAATGGCCAACTTGCGGGAACCTTATTTGCTGCATACCGTGATTGTTACATGAGATCCCTCAGCAACTGGAATATCACTCCTCTCTGCTACTTCTAGCTAAACCAGTTGGCAAAATAAGAAAAAATATACACAGGTGAGCAACTAAAATTTAGATATGAAATATTTTCAAAAGCACAATAATTAATGCATAACTGGTCTGACACTTTAACATCAGGACAAATCGCCTGTTCTCCTCGCAGAAAGACAAAGTGCAAATTATAGCTGATGTACAGAACAAGCTTAGATAACAAATACAAGATTTTCTGTGACAACATATAAGATCATTGTAGACAAAATTTGTCTAGTCCTGTTCATTCTTTTATACAATGGATGGCCATTGTTTCAGTCATCAATTCAAGATCATGTCATATTTTGAATATAATGAAAATGACAAAAGATTCTAAGAAACTCCCATTTTACAAGACAATAGTATTGCCTTTGGGTTTTGAAGACAATGTCGTGACAGGATTTGCGGTGCGGGCGGGGGTGGGGTGGTGTGGTGCGGGGGGAGGGAGGGAGGGAGGGAGGGGTGGGGGGGAACTCACAATGATGTACCTAAAACTGGCCTTTCTGAAAATACTATAGAGAAAAATATAACTTGGGAATGTAATAAGGTCCTAGGCATAGATCATTAACTCACCTTGCAGGTATCTAAACAATCATACAAAGTTTCACAGGGACAAAACATCAAGAGGAGCAGGTGGAGTACAGATGATTATTCTAACTCTTGGAACTGCAACATTCTTTAAACTGCAAAACACATGACAATATTGCTACAATTCTTCCAGTATAACATCTCTGTTAGTGTTTAGGCACAACTGCAACACCTATCTCTAATGCTATATGAAATCTTGCAGGTAATCATCCATAACAGGATCATACAACTCCCAAATCTCATGGCAAGAAGGCTGGGTCATGGACCAATCGACATCCACAAGGAACTTCTCCCTAGATCTGATCAGTTTACCTGCGTTTAATTCTTAGGTTGCAGTATTTTGGTTCTTCCTAACACCATATCACTAGATCAGATCGAAAAATACCATTCTTCCTGAGCAAAAATTGTATTTTGATCGACAAAAATCCAATCTTTGCTTGCAGTAAACGAAGTTTCAAGTCAATACCAAATGCAACGCGTTTCTCGTGGCGAGGGTCGTGTACACATTCCCGTATATCGTCGTCAGTCCGATCACCTCTATCTCCGGTGAATTGAGCGCCACAAATATCGCCATCGCATCATCTTATCCCGCAATACAAACATGCAGAACGCACAAATAACAGTCTAGCATCAGATTTCGATCCGATGAATCCAAATCCAATCCAAGAAAGTTACAGATCAAATCAAAGAGAGCAGGATTTTGTTTGGATTCGAGAGTTGGGGCTTCGGAATACCGATTCCGGGGTCGGTGTCGATGATGATCTTCTTCCTCTCCATGGCGCAACCCCAGGGCGGCAGCTACAGACAATGATGGTGGTTCGTTGTCTTCGTCCTGCACAGTTCTCTTAATACTACCACCAACCACGTGATCGTCAACGGCGGTGCCGAAGAAGAAAGAGCTCGAGCCAATCACCGTCGCCCATCTCATGCCACCGTCATCGATCGTACCGTCTAGTGTTGTCGGGTCGGCGTCATGTACGGTCCGGATCGTCGCCCATCTTATGGCAGCGTCATCGCTCGCTCGTCACATGGCGGTCGATTTGGATCGAAGAAAGGTTGCCGAATCTCGAGGCCAACCACGTCGTCCCGTTTAAAACGATCCCGTCTTGCCAACGGATCTATTGAGAGGGATGGGGCGAGGAGCCATGAATGCACTTCCCAAGCTGGAGAAGAGGGCCTCCAAAGAGTCTTTGGCTAAGAAACGGGAGTCCAAGAAGAAGCCGAGCCCCAGAAATCCATTGAAGGAGCTCAACAACAGCTCCATTCCCCCTCTTGGCTCCGCTGAGCCACCCAAACGGGGATGTGTCAGATTCTTGCTCGCCGATTCATCTGCCAAAGAGTCGCTCGCTCGATCCCAATCAGTGCCAAGAACTCCCAGATCCGCGCCTCCGAATCATAGAAATGTGGCCTCCAATCCCAAGAACTCCACGAACGGTGCCAGGTACCGAATCTCCCAAAAGAACGCATCAAAATCCAATCTTGAACTCCCCAAGGAGCTCGAATCGAGGAAAGCTTCGAAATCCAGACCCCCGGATCTCTTCCCGCGATGGAACAAAAGGAAACCCAGCTCCAATGGCGAGAATCCTCATCCAAGATTAAATCTTGAACGGGGTTCTGAGGGAAAAGTTGGTTCTTGTTTGGCTTCCACGCCTGAGAGAACTCTTCTAGGTTCCGATTCGGCGAAGGAAGGAGAACGGAAGCTGATAAGTACACCGACTTCGGCCACCACTCCTCCCGTTCAAGCATCCATTTCGCCGGAGTTCACCGTGGAGGCCTCTGCGGTGGCTGCCACGCCTGTATGTTTTGCCGCAGGCCATGTGATCGCCAGAGTGCACGACCGGCGGAAATGCAGGCCCAGAGGCATACTTACCATCGGCAGAGATGAACTGGAGATCGAAAAGATTCACGGTGGGTGTCCCTATCCGACTCTGGTTTCCGTGACGCCTCCTCCTCTCGCCCGGGCGTCCGTTCATTGGCTGTCTTCACCTTCGGAGATTGTCAGTTCGGGTCTCGGTAGCAGCTTCGATTCTAGCTCTAAAGTTCTTGCCGCACATTGTCCTGCTGAAGCTTCTGTGGAGTGGCTTCTTCCCCCTTGTGAGGATGGAGATAATATGCCCAAAGATGAGTTCTTGATGGGATATTGGAGATCTTCTCTGGATGATTCTAGCAGGAAGAAGTCGCCTGAGCTTAGGGGCTTGTTGGGCCTCGATTCTCCAGCTTTAGAAACAACACCATCATCAGGTATTGGCATTCAGCAAACTCCTCCTACTGGTGGTAGTGATAGTCCTTTCTCAATGATCCTAGAAAGGATTGCAAAGATATCCAAAAGCAAACTTGTGAGGCCTCAACAAGAGATGGGAGGATCCTGCCATGGTTCTGGGGACTCCTCTAATGAAGTCCATTTTATTTGCACACCATCATCTTTTTCGAGTTCAACGAAGCAGAAGAATTTGGCTGATTCTAAGATGGATGCAATGGCAGAGGCTCTCAAAACAATTAGCCTGTCACCAAGGTCACTAAACAATGATACAAGTTGTCAAGCACCATTTCCTGGGCTCAGTTTCCAGTTTGAATGCCTGGAAAACCCGTCAAGTTCTGTAGATTTAGATCGTTTTCAGAATCTCTCATGTGATTGGATCTCTACATTAAAGGATGATGCTTGTGCTAAAGAAGAGATTTTGCCAAGTTCTCAGGCAATCATACCATGGAGAGAAGGAACGGTCAGTAGGATATTTGAGTTGGGGGAGTTGGATCACTGTCAGTGGCTTTCGGAAGATGAGGATAGCTTCATTCACCATGAAGAAGATAGAGTAAGATCCATTCCTGATCTTGAGCTTGACCCGAAAAATATCGGCTCCACTCTAAAGAAACAGAATGAACATATTGCACCATCCGGTTTTGGATCTGTCGAGTTTGTGTTTGAAGCTGAAAAGAGTGAAGCAAAAGTTCTTCATCCACAAGGACCCACCTCATGTGCAGAATCCATTAGCATAGAGGGGCTTGTGGTGGACTCATCTGGTGATTCTGACTGGGCATTTTTCTACAAAAAACCACTTATTTGAAGTATGAGATGCTTTACTTTTCTCAGTTGGTTATCTGAGCCTCTTGTATTGTTAGAATATTAGATTAAACTTTTTCATGTCCTCCAGTTTCTTGAACTTTGACCTGCCATTGACTATGAGATGAGCTTCCATCTCCTTCAATCCATGTATACTACATTCTTAGTTTTAGTAGTTTGAAGTTTGAACTACCTACATGACTTGCTTGAACAGGTACTGATAGCTTAAGAAAAGGGCATAAATCCTACAAGATTCATGTAGCTTGTTATCTATGGAACTCTAGACCAGTATAATTGCATTGGAAGGGTTGCAGTAAGCCAAATCATTATAATGTGACAAGAAAATTTGTTGTCTTTGAGTCATCCTATGCAAGTTTGATTTACCATTAGGTGATATTCCAAAGCCTCATTTCTTGATTTACTTTGGTGTTCATGCAAATTTACCCTCAAGATTTTGGTCGATGTTACGACACAAGTGTTGGCAAGGAAACAACAGTGTAATGATTCTCATCAGGCAACCTAACTTCAATGCTTGCAGAAACTTGTTTTAATTCTGCTTCTGTGAATTTAGATCCTGTATGAAAGTTATTGAAGTGAAACAATTGGGAGTTTGATTATTGATCCGCAAACTATAGTTGGATGAAATGGCTATCTGACAATTGCCACTCCATAATCCTTAAAAAGGATATCATCATTATGTAGCCTTGTAGGCAAAATATGTAGACTAAACAGAATCTTATTACATAATCAAGAAACAAATGCTTTGGCTAGTAAGGAACTGAATGTTGGAAATTTGCAGCACCTACATTTTGTACTGTGATAGAAGTCATGAAAAGCTCTATTTTTGGTCGATTATGTAACGCGCATGAGAATTCCCATCTTATATGGAATATGTTGAGAGCTTGTGTTTCTACGAGTACACTCGGCATCCCTGCTTTAAGATTCTCACATCAACCATGATTTCCTTTGTATCATTGTAGTGTGGTTTTCTGGGATTACAAAGGTGGTTCCCTTTAAAGTGCCAAGACATCCTGAGATGAAAAGGCATGCATAGACAATCACTCTTTGGTTGTCTGATTAGTGGAAGGTTATCATCATCCAAAATGTCCCAAAGGTCTAAGCTAGATTGACTAGAGTATACAAGAAAGACAACAGAAAAGGTATCATGTGGTGTGATCTAAGCTCCAAAAACACAAAAGAGCCTTGTGATTCCTAGTTATCATCAAATATCATTAGTGTGATACTAAGAACAACACTAGTGATAAAAAGAGCTTCAACAATCAGTATGTTGAGTTTGTGTTGTTACACTATAATCTCACAAGACAGGATGTGAAGCTATGTATGTATTCTTTTCTCATGCTACAAATAGAACAGATGCAGATGAACATGCAATTGGAAATAGGGTTGCACTGCAATTGCATTTTTTTTGGCCTTGTATTTTACTCTAGGTACCATCAATATCCATCATATTCAGCAATGATCCTTGTATAATCATGAGGTGTTACTAACAGATGCCCAGAAACACAATCAACTAGTTATCACCTGCATGAGAAAAAAGTGTCATCATTCAGGACAATAAAAGAAGATAGTTGGACTCCCTGAGTAAAAGAAAGATCAATTAAAGAGATGGATTGACATGTAAAACATGATTCTGAAAACAAAAAAGAAAAATGATTCTTAGTAAGCCTACTATTATCTAACAGAGCAACTTGCCATAAGCTCCTGATACCAGTGATGGACTGAGAATATGCACACAGTAGGGAAAAGATCAAGGATGTGCATGTCTTGTGAACTTGTTTGCTGATGGTCATCTAATCATGGCCTCACTCAACAAGACAGGGAGGAATTTGGAAATGATTAGATGACCATCAACAAAACAGATTCAAAGCTGCAATTTCTCTACAGGAGCCTAGAAAACAGATGAGGAACTGAAGGAGCCTAGAGAACTTGTCAAACAAGGCTTATATGATGCATTGAATGGATGAGGGGTATATTCCTGGAAAGATACAACAAGAAGGCATATTCCTAGAGAATAAACCTCTTGCATGATTGAAGGATGGGCAAGAAGAGTCACTCCAGATCATACTCCTTGATGCAGGAAAAGATGCAATATCCACCTCCATGCATATGCTAACAAGTTACTGTGGATGGATTACTTGCAGTAGATTTGGAGAAGGAAGCCTGTGAAAGGGTTGACAAAATTTGGTTGCTAGGGTATCTTCAAAGTAATTCATTGATGAATAGATATATCATGATCCGATTGGATGAGATAACTCATATGTTAATTTATTGAGTCTAAACCACTGATTAAAATATTTAAGATAAATTAATATCAATAGGTTTATCTAGTTTATAAATCCATTTGGATTTAAATTAAAGTATTATAATATATTTACTTAATATATATGTATGTATGTATTTATAATATTATA